TATTGCTTTCTCTAATTAGGGAGAATGATAGACTTATGTGGTCTTCACAAATATAGTGGATTATGATAATTACAGCTGGCTGCATGATAAAAAAAAAAAAAAAAAAAAGATTTTCATGTTGAAACTCTTATCTTACTTATGAGTTTATCTTATTTGCATATATGTAGATCTTTGTGCAACATCAAGATTTAGAATTTTACACATGTTAAGAAATTTGTGGTAATAGCAAAAAAAAAAATTATGTCATAAAGAAATGTTCATAAGAAATATAGTAGTTTTTACATGAAAATGTTAAAATATTAAAAAATTTACATGGCTTGGCATAACTAAAACGTTACTCCCTATGAATGTGGTTTCTCGAGATGTAATGAACAATGGTGATGATAATTAGGTGGCAAAAATCGAGTGATGGGAGTTAAGTAGTGTGGTGCTTGATTCATTATTATTGATACGTTATGATAAAATTATCTTGATCGAGCACGAATCTCGAGGCAAAAATTAAGACAGAAACTTCAAAAAATTAAATCTGAGGGCATCTAAACTCCAATTTCAGCAAACTTATAGTCAAACTGAGCGTCTCGAAAATACAAATCCAACGACACCAAATTCAACTCAATCTGTTCCCAAATGAGTCCAAATCAAGGACCTGAAGCGCTATTGGAAAGTTTGTACCACAATTCGAGTTACCAAACGGCCTCCCAACTTGACTAGCTTATTATCGAATCGAGCGGCTCGACAAGACAAATCCAACGAGCCCAAGATCACCGAATTCCAAAGTCATTAAGACCTTCAAATGCTTGAAAAACGGTCCACGATAGAAGGATTCAATATCAGCCGTTCATCCGAACCACTTCATATTTGCCTCTAATCTCTCATCTATTTATGACTCATGCCACTGCAGAAAATCTATAAATAGACCCCTCATTTCTCTTGAGAGAGGACTGAAGCAAGAGGAAGAAGAGAATAAGGAGAAGAGAAGAGAGAAGATTAGGAGGGAAGAAACTCCTCATCTACCATCGCCGGAGTTCCGCCCGAACTCTAAATGACGCCAGAATTCTGCCTGATTTCTACGGGACATCGAAATTCTGCCAGACTTCCACTGGACAGCAAAATTATGCCCGACTTCTACGGGATACTGAAATTCTGCCCAAGTAGCGACAAAGTTCCCCCCCTAACGCCGAAACTTTGCCCAAGTGATGTCGGAGTTCTCCTCGGCCACCAACAGATGTCGAACTTCTACCCGACATCGGATCTTCACTCATTACCAAGTTTCTACCCGATGTCGGACTTCTACCGGTCATCGGACTTTCGCTGGACATCTATCCGATGCAATCTCTATCCATTGTTGGACTTCTACCTAACGCCATCCTTCCGACCTTCATCGTCAGATAATGGTCCTTTTGACTTACGTTGCCCACCGATTATAGTCTTTTCGACCTCTGTCGCCAGCCGACTACGGTCTTCCTGACTTACGTCGCCCGCCGACTACAGTCTTTATGACCTCCGTCGCTCGCCGACTACAGTCCTTCTAACCTCCGTCACCAGACTATGGTCATCCCGACCAAACGAACACGTCAATAGTGACTATTTGTATTCACATAATGTCATGTACTCTATCAAATGTACATCAAGCTAAGGCTTTTCCCCCAAGGAATGGCCTCATTTGTAATCAACTGCTATACTAGTGGATTCATTCGAACTGGGTTAGGCCCCGTGGTTTTCCCCTTTTCAGGGGTTTTCCACGTAAAAATATTGGTGTCTCTTACAAATGCTACATACTCTCTTATCTGATTGCGTGCCAGATTTTCGTACAACGCTAATACGTTAAACTTTATATTTCTTTACCGCCGTGAAGACTCCTAGATGCAACAATTATAGTTAAGTGATTGTAGTTTGATGAAGGTACATTATTGATGAGCTATATTATTTGGGTGATGATGAATAAACTAAGATGATTGAGCTAGGGTGATTGTATGAAGACAGTCAAGCAGTGGTATTTAGTTGATGTTAGATGGATGTCGATGCTTGAGGAATGGTGGTTGGGTAATAATTACGTAACGATGGTCTGATAATTAGTTATGAGTTCTAGCAATGATAGTCGGTATCGAGTGTCGAGATTTGCTTTAGAGTTCGTCATATTTCTAAGCTCACTTCAAATTTAGGTAAAAAGGCCTACTTCGTGTAAAGAATGTGATATATTTATAATTTTTTAGCTTGATATTTTGATAATTTTAGTCAAAATCTTAAAATATTCCATAATATAATTCATGATAATGTGATGTCCCATAATCTAATTTGAAATAATTATTCTTTTATCTTTCAATAAACAATAATTTGAGTTACGTAATTTTTTTTTATCAATATAAATATGAGTGGAAGTGAAACTATTGATAATTCTAAAAATATATATGCTACTGAGGTTCTATACGATCATATTACAATTATTTTATCTTGAGTACAAAAGAATAGCTAAAAGACAAAGAAATAAACAAACAGTAAAGCTAAAGAATCCTGATTAATCTCACACTCCCGATCATCTGCTCTGACATAAAATTATTTAAATAATTTATAATGAGCTAAAGAGTCTAGCAGATCATCCAATCCTATAATTGACTCAAAGCAAGATAAAGAAATATTATGTATGCCATCAATCAATTCATAACATTAGCAGTCATATGATCATGAATTGATGCAAAAATAATAAAGTACATATGCAATAGCAGTAGAATCTGTAAACAATAATTGACTCAAACCACAATAAAGAAATATGATGGGAAATCCAATAAACTAGTATGGATGTTGAATCGATAAAATAACCGTTCTATCGGTACTATTAATCAGTAAAGAAATCTTATAAAGAGGTAAAATCTATGACAGTGACAATAAATCCGCGTAGTGACAATAAATTAGTAAACAATAACAATAAAGCAGTAAATATCCTTGAAACTGAGTGATATTAGGATCATTAAATTTCTCTCATCGTGATGCTCGTTTTGACTAGAAGCACACAATATTCAAAGTTCATTTTATCATCTAATTATTGTTACGAAAATTCTAAGAAGTACCTGATTTGAGCTTATTAGGAGTCGAATCATATCACTTTTATTGTCATTGGATCTATCTCGTCGAGCCATTCAATTCATTCATAAACGTGCAAAAATTAAAATATCTATATATGATCCAAAAAGTCAATCTACAAAATTCTTGCACAAAACTTTGATTTTTTTTATATATATGCGCTCACACACAATGATAATAATAATATTCCATGTAATTATTTCTTGCCGCTTACATTCATAACTACTCCGACGTAGGTTCCACACGCACGTTATTAATTGAATGCAGAATTTTAAAATTTCAAGTAGTATTTCCTTCTGCATGTATTTATTGAGAGAATTGAAAAGTCTCAATTCATACTTTTCTTCTACTACCTTTCTCATTCGCCATTAATATGGCTTCTCTCTTCTTCACGTCTAAATACTAATTAGTCCCTTCAACGCATTGCATGCATGCAGGGTCAAACGACGATTCGCTCTCAAGCATTTTGGAGACGTTGACATTCACTAATGTTGATTCTTTCTTATTTGATGAAGTGTAAGCTAATCAAATATAGGTTTCATTTGAGACTTTTTTTTTTAAACTATTTTCTATAACATTTTTTTAGTACAAATTTTGAATGAGTTCGAGCTGATTTGTTTGAAATTTGGAGTGTTCGTATATATTAGGGGTGCAAATGAGTCGAGTCGATCTCGAATTAGGGGGTGTTTGAGTTGAGCTCAACTGTCAATATAGAGCTCGAACTAGAGTCGAGCTCAAAAGTCTAGTTTGAGCTCGTGCGAGCTCGACTTGACAGGGGAAAACGAGCTCGTTGAACAGCTCATCGAGTGACAGTTTGAGCTGCTCATCCACGTCTATCGTGCCAGTGTCCATATCGTCGCCAGTGTTAGTCACAATTTCATTTTCCTGCCGGTAAGATCCTCGTTTTTCTTTTTCCGCGTATGCAATTTCAATTCATTTTCTTGCCGACTACGCATTTTGCGAGCTGCTCGACAAGCTCGCAAGTCGAGCAAAGGGCTGTTCGAGCTCGAGCTCAATAAGATGTTGAGCCTGTTATCGAGTTGAGCTCGAGCCAGCTCACGTGTGAGCTTGAATCGAATATGAGCTAAGTATGGGTTTCGAATGACTAAGTGGCTATTTAGTTGGTTACAAAAGGGAATGCATAGTAAAACGTAATGCTATGAAAATGGAATGCAATGTATTTAAAATGCTTGGAGTTGATTGGATGGGTGTAAAATAAGTGCAAGTAAAATTTTTTTTTTTCATTTTGGTTGAATTAAATGAATGTAGGTTAAAAGATATATGGCAGTGGTCGATAGAGCAGATAGTGATAGTCAGTGGTGGGAACTAATAGATGTATTAAATGTAGCTTATGTTAAGAAAGATAGAGGTAGTCCTAAAAAGATTTGATTAGAAAATATTAGAAATGACATTTCTTTATTAGATTTGAATAAGAATTTGATCTTTTTTTAATCAGAATTTTATTCTTAACATCACATATCGGAGAAAAAAAGGTTCATGCAGACGACCCATGTAGTGGGATAAAGGCTTGATATTATTATTATTGTATCCACGACCATCATTAATATTCGTCGCCACCATTATCAGATTTTTTACTATTATTGCTTGATCATTAATATATAATAGAATTGTTAAATTTTAAAAGTCCATATGGGAATATAGTATCTCTATAATTTCTATAGTGAAAATTAAATAATTGTGTTATAAAAATTTATTGGTCGTACATATATGTAATTCAACATCAAATAAAAATTATGAGATAGCCCTTCTTTTTCGTCTAAAACCTTTTATAAATTTTTTTTTACTGTGAAATGGTAATAATGTAATATAATAATTTCATTTTGTACTAACGCGACTACTTTCATGGCGGCTCAAGGCAAGACGGCTCAACTTCTCGCGATATTTTGGTTTATCGTGTAAGCACAATTTCTCGCGCGCTTTCTGTCGGCTCTATATATTCCTTGTTCCCTCCCGCTTCTTCCATTTCTCTGGCTGCAGAGTTCTTCGAGCGCTCTGAAATTTTCAGCTCGGAGGTCGGAGCTTACAAGTATCTGACTTATTACTGGTTGAAAAAGGTACCGTAATCTTTTTCTTGCCAGCTTCTTTTTCGAGTTCTAATCTTTATAGACTTGATTGATTGCAGTTTGTCTTGCCGTTGATTGCCTGCTCAGATCCAGCACAAGCGGTATGGGAGTTCTCAATCCTTTACATTTTGCTCTGTTCTTCCTTGTGTTGTCGATGGAGTTGGGAGTTCAAGCATACGGGGCTGCTGTTCTTTCGAGCAACGAAGGTAGAGAATCAAGTTTAATTTATTCTGCTTTTCTAGCTCAAGGGTTTGTGTTGAGAAAACAGTTGCTCTGATTTGGGCAGTGCAAGTACTTAAGAAGATCGCGCAGAAGATTGGAAACAATGGTTGGGATTTCAGCGATGATCCGTGCAGCGGGGAAGGGAGTTGGTACATGGCGAATGCCACGATAGCGAACGGGATCGATTGCGATTGCAGCTTCAACGGCAACTCCACCTGCCATGTTATAGAAATGTGAGATTCTTTTATGGAAAATTGGGATATCATAAATAACTTATTGGTATTGGGATTCGATTGATATGGAATGGGCCTTACGTGTGCAGATCAATAAAGTCACAGAATTTCTCCGGGGGTTTGCCGGCGGAGTTCGGCGATCTTCGTTATCTTCAGCTGCTGTAAGTGAAGTGGCAACTTTCTTTATTTTTTAATTCGAAGTGGGAAATAAGATAACCTATCGGCGAGCTTGTCGATTGAGTGAAGTACTTTTCTTCTTTCTATTTATAGGGACTTCACCAGGAATCTCTTCGATGGTAGCGTCCCTGAGGCATGGAGCAAGCTGCGCTTGACCAACCTGTTAGTGAAATGCTGCCCTCGTCCTCTAAATCCGTTTAATCTTTCATATGTCATTTTGAAAATTGGAAATTTCAGTTTTTGGATTCTTCTCAGTTTTTAATGATCAAATTTGTAGGATATTGATGGGTAATCGATTATCTGGGCCGTTCCCACAATTTCTAACTCAGATGACGACACTGCAAACCCTGTAGGGAAAAAGGAGGGCATTTCTTCCTCCCTTTTTCTTATTTTCGTTTTAGTGATAAGCTGCTGTCCGGCCAAATATAACAATAATATGCTGCAGGAACATGGAAGGCAACCGCTTCTCGGGGACCATTCCTCAAGAGCTTGGGAATCTCATTAACCTGGAGAAACTGTAAGCTTTCCAAGAGTGATCAAACTGTCTAAAAGGATTCAAATGTTTACGATCATCCTATTTTGTCATTTCTCCTCTTTTTTATTTTAGAATTGAATGTCGCTTTCACCTTTATATTTAGTACAATAGCATCAAATGGATTCACTGGAGAACTCCCAGAAACTCTTGCCCAGTTGACCAATTTGACTGATCTGTAAGCATTTCCTCGTCATCATATCCTTTGTGTTTTTTGTGCGCGTTACTAATTTGGACAATGATTGTGCAGAAGGATTTCTGATAATAATTTCTCAGGAAAGATACCTGATTTCATAAGCAAGCTCACTCAGTTAAATAGACTGTAAGTGAACTCATTCCTGATAACCATTTATGAAATGGTCTTTCTTGCATTATGAAGCCCTGCCTGTCTGCAACAGCATAATTGAACTCTTCATATATGATAAAAGCTGCAATAATGGATTGCAGGGAAATTCTTGGCTCTTATCTGGATGGGCCTATACCTTCTGGCATTGCAAACTTGACAAACCTAGTTGATTTGTATGTGAATGTGTACTTCTACTTCTATTATGGTTAATTCATTTGTAGATTGAAGACATCCTTAATTTATATGGAAAACAGGAGAATTACCGATCTTCGTGGAAATTGGTCAGCCTTTCCTCGAGTGAATGGAATGAAATCCCTAAAAAGATTGTAAGTTCAATTGTTTCATAAATATTCAACCGTTTTTTGAATTGATTTATTGGATTTATTAATTCTCTCCATTTGTCGTGCAGAATATTGAGGAATTGTTCCATTCATGGTGTCATACCTCCTGAATTATCAAACTTGGATAAGTTGAAAGTTTTGTAAGTCTTCTCTTCTTCAGCTTTCTATAAGATAGTCTTATTTTCTCATTCTTATATCGCAGTTCTCTAGTTTATTGGTTTTATGGTCATGTCCATTGAAGTTCCTAAATTTTTGTTCATTCTCCATACAGGGACCTCAGCTTTAACAAATTGACGGGAGAAATTCCAGACACATTTAGCGGTCTGAACAAAAAAGTTGATTTTATGTGAGTTTTGAATTTGTTGGTGACAATTATCTGAACTCATTTATTTTTTTTCACTTACTTCACTAGATGCCTTGAGATTTTAAATACCCTTTTAAAAATCCCATTAATTTTTTTGTCATAGGTTTTTGACTGGAAATGCTCTCACAGGGACGATACCTAACTGGATCTTGAATAGAAGAGACAAGAACTTGTATGTATTTTAATCGTTATGCTGTTAACATTTTTCACCCTGGAAAGAATCAATTTTAGCAGCTGCAGTAAGCCCATTTTCTAGTGCTTAATGGTGGTGTTGATGTCATTTCGAGATCATAGTAGATCCTTCATCCTATAAGTTTAATAGAAGATTGAGATTCCGTTTCATAAAAATTAAGGGTTTGTTGGGCATCAATTTCATTATTATTGTTATTACTTTTAATTTTTATGTTTAATAAACATATTTGATTGTAATTTTTTAGCTATTTTTTAAAAAATAAATCTTCTTTTTAATATTGAAAATAATTTTTAGATGTTTTAAATATTTTTAATCAAATATCACTACCGGACAACGCAGACAATAACTCTCACAGTCGGTGATCATCCCCTGCCTCCTTCATCACTACTAAATAAATTAACTTGTCTGATATTCAATAAAAAATTAACTTATAATTTTAATAATAATATAAATAAAATAAAATACATCAAACATATTATATTTAATGTCAAAATAACATATAAAAAAGAAGTGATTTCAAATGGCCCCTAAAAGTTTGTTATAACTTTCAAGTGCGCCAATAAAAGGCTCTCCAATGATTAATAAGCCCGACAATAACAATTCGTTTAGTTATTCTCTTGACGTTTATAATCTGCTGACTTTGGCTTTGAACTTCAGGGACATCTCTCGCAATAACTTCTCAATTGGCAAATCAGGTCCAACTGAGTGCTCACAAGAAGGAAGCATGTGAGAATCATATATTAATTATACAGTACATACAATGTTCTGATGATTTACACCCTTTTCTTCATAAGTAACTACTTGCTTCTTTTCAGTAACCTGGTGGAGAGCTGTGGGGCCGCACAGGACAACAAGTATGTATCATCTAAAAATACGAAAATATTACATATTATCCACATATTTAACTTAGGCTTTAAGATACTTTTAATGATTAATCTTACACATTTTTTTGGTTTAGGACTATAGTTAATCCATGCTTGAAGAGGAACTTTCCTTGTGATGCTCTAAAATGTGAGTAACTCAAATAATTCTTTTAGGTTAATAACTTCTTTGTACTATCATATACAGTTGGCTCTTTGGGATGCTGTTCATTTTACTAGATTCGTTAATTCTTTTGTTATAAATCAATCAGATTTGTATTTGTAGAAGTAAGAATGTTCTATTCTTACCTACCAAACTGGAAGTTCGAATTTCATGCTAGTACATTTTACATCCTTTCTAGTCGAGTTCTTCATTCATTGGTTAAAAGAAGCTTGTACTGTGATTTATGTTAAATAGCTTTGTCCGTCCTTTAAAACTCCAGTTTTTCTATACAGATATATCCTCCTTGCACATAAATTGTGGAGGAAGAGAAACGGTTATCAATGGGACAACATATCAAGCTGATGGAGAGGAAGGAGGTGCTTCAATGTTCTATTTTGATGATGATTGGGCATTAAGCAGTACCGGATATTTCATGGATGACGATGTGTCTTCTGACAACTACATTGCTACAAACACATCAGTACTGTCCATGCCAAATGCAGACCTTTACACAGAAGCACGAATATCTCCTCTTTCTTTAACCTACTATGGACTTTGCATGTTCACCGGTTCATACACCGTAGAACTTCATTTTGCAGAAACAGTTTTCCAAGATGATAACAAGTTTGACAGCCTTGGAAAGCGTTTATTCAATGTCTTTATTCAGGCAGGTGAAATCAAACCTTCCTATTTTCACAAATTTATGATAACTCTTAATTTGTTTTTCTCTATCATTTTCATCACAGGGAAAAATGGTCTTAGAAGAATTCAATATTGAAAGAGCTGCTGGTGGCACTGGCAAGGCCATTAAAATGACCTTCAATGCCTCTGTCACAGATCATACTTTGAAGATTGAGTTTTATTGGGCTGGAAAGGGGACACAAGCCGTCCCAAATAGGGGCGTTTATGGGCCACTCATATCAGCTATTTCAGTGACACCTAGTATGCTTGGAAATTCTTTTAGCTTGACTTATTTTTTTGTTTGCCCGTACAAGCATGTTCTCAAATAGAAAATTTAAAGTAAGCCCAAGTATCTCAATAGCATACAAAACAATACAGAAAATAATCTAGGCATGAATAAAGCCATATGATTTTTCTATATGAGGGATGTGAAAGTAAAACATCAAGCATGCAAACTTATGTCAAAACCAAGTAACTTTATTTTCAAAAGTATCTCCAATTCAACCACACCCAACACCAGTAAGGCTTCGTTTGGGATGGCTTTCTTATTGTTTCTTAAAACAACTTAAAAAAATTTTTATACTAGAAAGTTGCTTTAAGAAGCAGTAGGAAAGCCGTCCCGAACGAAGCCTAAGACGATATATAAAAAACCTAAATTTATGTTAATTTTATTGATGTATTTGCTATCAAAACACAAGTTTCAACTATGAACCTTCTTTGGTGCACACAAAGCTAGAACTATTAAAATGCTATGCACATTTTTATGAAAAGTTTCTATGAATGGTCCCAACTAATTTCTCATCCTAAGATGTGGAAAATTGAACCCAAGATTCTAGCCTGCATCATCTTGTATAAGAAGAAAACTTGGATGCTCATTAGGTAAAATATTTTAGATCCTAGACATCGAACAAATCTAAACTAACCTCCTAAAGTAGGGCAATAGATCCCACAAGAATCTCAAAAGTTACTACAGAAACTTGGCATGGATAATCCTGCCTTCAATATTTCATGCTAAAATAAGTGCTGCTCAAAATATGGAGGACTTTTGTGCTCTAATGCTGCACTATACCTTCTTTTAGCTCTCTTGTGTTTTTTTGGATTTAGACAGATTCAAAATAATTTTTTTGCCTTGGTACTTGGAGGGATATATATATATATATATATATAATTTTTCCAAACAAAGAGATAGGAGTGGTAAGGATTTATGCCCTAATATAATCATTCCTAAATCAGCCACTTAACTATGGAAAGATATCGGCGTAATCCATGTGAGCCTCCCACGGATCCCCATCCTAACTGTGTGATTAATCTGCTAAGGGATGACTGAGATTTAATAGATTGGCATGATCCAGGTGAGCCTCTCACGGATCCCCATCTTAGATGTGGGATTAATTCGCTAAGGGACGATTGAGATTTAACACTCCCCTCAAGCTGATGAATAAATATCTGTCATTCTTAGCTTGGTAATTAGTCCCAAAAGGGCAGAGTTATCTAGTTCTTTGGTATGAATATTTGCAAGCTGATTTTTTTATGAGACATAATAGATACATATAAGACAACTATCTAATTTTTCTTTTATAAAATGTATGTCCACTTTTATGTGCTTGGTCTTGTTATGCTGAACCAGATTGTGAGCTATGCTGATTGCTGATCTATTGTCACAATGTAGCTTCATGGGCCCTTCCCACTTGATCCTTAGGTCTTCTAGAATCATCTTGATCCATGATAGCTCATGTATTTCTAAGGCCATAGTTTTGTATTCTGCTTCTGCACTAGATCTTGCCACCACATTCTATTCTTGCTTTACCATGTAATCGTCTATCTACTGGTGATCCTGCATAATCTGCATCAGTATATGCTTATGGGGTTATTCCACAGTTTCTTCTAAAAAGAATCCCTTTTCTTGGGTTCCCCGTAAGATAATGATGCATTCTATCTACAGTTTGCATATGAGTTTATTTTCGATTTTGCATGAACTAGCTGACTATGCTTACAACAAATGATATATATGGTCTGGTGTGGAAAAGGTAGGTCAATTTCCCACAAGTCTTTGGTAAGCTCCCTTGTATACATCTAGATTTTCTTTAGCTTCCTCCAATTTAGCTTACAAGCTAGTTTATCTGTTTTTTAAGTAGATCATTGATTTATTTTTGTTGTGAAATAAAAATTCCTCTATTGGAGTGGGCTGCTTCAATTCTATGGAAATATTTTAATCTCAAATTTCTTGGTAAGATATTTCCTTAGAATCACTTTTTCCTTTTCATCATTTGCAGTTAAGATGATATCATTCACATAAACTAATAATATTTTGACTTCTTCTAAGTTTGAGTGCTTGAAGAATAATATATGGTCCCCTTGACTCTGTCAATAACCATTAAGAAGTATGACTTTTGAGAATCTTTCAAATCAAGTTCTAGGTGACTGTTTTAGCCCATATAAAGCCTTTATCCTGCACACCTTATCAACCCCAGATTTTCCTTGAATCTTGATGAAATTTTTATAAATATCTCTTCCTCCAAGTCCCCGTGTAGGAATGCATTTTTGACATACAGCTGTTCCAAATGGCAATTATAATTAGCTGTTAGTGAGAGTAGGATCCTGACAATGTTCATCTTAGCCACATGTGCAAAAGTTTCCCGGTAGTCGATGTCGTATGTCTAAGTATACCATTTCGCTACTAGTCTTGCCTTTTACCTTTCTAGTGTACCATTGGCTTTGTATTTCATAGAGAATACCCATTTGCACCCGACTGGTTTTTTTCCTATTGGTAGGTCAATAATCTCCTAGGTATTGTTCTTCTCCAAAACCTGCATTTCATCTTTCATGGTACTTTTTCAATTTTTATTAATAGATAAAACTTCAAAGATATTATTAGGAATATGAATATCATTTAGTGTAACCAGAAAATTTTTGTGTGAAGGTAGAAGTTAAAGAAGGATACAAAGTTGATTATGGGGTACAAGGGAGATTTTATTGGTGTTGTGTTTATCTCAAATTTAGGAGATGGTTCAGATTCTTGGATATGCTCTGAAGCATAGTTTGGATTTGTACGCCATACACTTTCCCAAACCTCTTGTCTTCAAAAATATCTTTTTTCTCATGTTTAGGTGGATTGGTTTGAGGTGGAGTTGGAAGGTCAAGAGGGGAAAGCTCGTTTTTCTCATCTTCCACATTTTCAGTCCCCCACCCCCACCCCAAAGATGAGGTTTGTAAAATAAGAGTTTTGTTCATCAAAAGTAATATCAACAGATACAAGGGTATATATCCAATAAAGATACATTTGAGTGCTCTTGGATTTAATTATCCTCTATTATGGTTGTGAATGTGAACATAGGCGGTGTACTCAAAGATTTTGAGTGTAAGGTTATCATGGGTTCGAAATTTGGGATAAAAGGAGAATAAAATTACCATTGGTGTTTTCAGTACCAAGGTTTTTGAAGGTAATTGATTTATGAGATATATGACAGTTAGGAGGGCTTCCCTCCAGTAGGATTTGATATGTTATGGTGGAATAGAAATGCATGGGTGGAGGCTAGAAGGTGACCATTTTTCTTTTCTGCAATCCGATTTTGTTGTGAGGTGTGAACGCAGGAAGATTAAAAAATGATACTGTTTTTTTTTTTTAAGTAGGAGGATAAGGTTTGATTAAAATAATGTTTAGCATTACTGGAATGAAATTTTCTAATTTTTACCCCGAATTGGTTCTAGATCATGGTGTGAAAATTGGGGAGAATAGTGCTAACATTAGATTTATTTTTGAGAAGAAATATGTAAGAGACTCGATTGCAGTCATTAATGAAGGATACAAACCATTGTGCTCCAGAGATTTTATGGATTTTTTAGGGTTTCAAATATCACTATGAATAAGATAAAAGAGGGTATCACATCTCTTATTTTTTGTTTGAAAAGAAAAACTCGTTTATGTTTAGCTAACTCATAAGTTTCACAATGAAAATATTTATTTAGAACTTATAACAAATTTTGGATGTATATTTTTTAAGATATCAAAAGATAGATGTCCTAACTAAAATGTTAAAAGCAAATAGTAGATTTTTAATCAAATAGGGATAACATAAAATAGTCATTATTGATACTATTATATTTGTTCAGCTCTTCTAGGTAGTACAATATATCTTTCTCCTTAGAAAGTTCAATATTCTTTCTCGATCTCTGGTCCTAAAATAAGCAATAAGTAGGGTTTAATATGACTTGACAACTATGGTTACTGGTAAGTTTTTTATAGAGATTATATTTGAGAATAATTAAGATTCGTTGAGCATATTTTTGAGAGTGAGGGAGGGAGATACATATATGTCTTCTTGGTTTGCTACTGTGGTAAGAGAACCATTAGCAGGAATGATTTTCTTTTTACTTGAGCAAGGCTTAAAGTTAACAAAGTGGGCAGTGGAGTGTGTTATGTGGTCCTGAGTTAATGAACTATGATTCTTTCAAATTATTTCTTGAAGCACTTAATCCAATGGATATAGGAAACTTACCTGAAAGTACAAAAGAAGAAGATGCAGGTTATTTTTCAGGGATATGTGGGATGACTTGTTATAGTGTTAGTTTGTGATGCGCTATTTTGTACAATTTTTTGATTTTATTATTTACTGGGGGGAGTTTCATGTTTCTTCCATCATATCTCTTTTGTATGTCTTGATTTTCTTGCAATAGCTACATCAGAGGGAGTCTTTGTCTTTACATTTTGAGGAGTCTTTACCTTTTTCTTTTTTCCTTCTAGGGAGTCAATGAACCTCTTTGGTTGTCACCATTGTTGAACCTTCAACAAATTTGTCTCTAGCATTATTCATTGTCGGTTTTCTTCAGGACGAATGAGAGAAATGATCTCATTTATTGAAGATATATCATCTTTGCCAAGGATTTAAACTCTAGCCTGATCAAACTTCGTATTTAATCCTGCAAGAAAGTCATACACTCTATTTATCTCAATAAACTTTTTCAGGATAAAAACATCTTCTGGACACTTGGTCTTTATGCATCTGTTGTGATCAAGTTCTTGCCACAAGTTTTAAAGGAGAGACATATTCCATCACAGCCTTGCTTCCTTATTTTGTGGTCTTCAACTTGACCTTATTTTGAAGATTTGGGCAGCATCCCGAGTTTTTGAAAAGGTTTGTCTGGTGGCATCACATATATCTTTTGCAGCAGATATGAACATAAAAGCATCATTAATTTCTGGAGTTATGGAATTCCACAATCATGATATAATAATGAAGTACACTTCATCCCATGCTTAAAAATTAGGATCTCCTTTTTTTAGTCCCCCTCCAAGGAGGCGACGTATCTTTCCTTTCCCTTTCCTTTCAAGTAGGTCTTCACAAATTGAGACCACTTCAAATAATTTTTCTCATTTAAGTGATAGGAATGTTGCATAATTTAGAGATCTCTTCCTTGGTGCACCATAGAATCCTCAATTTGCTCAATGCTTTGGGAGGAATTAATTTCAGACATTACAAATGATAATAATGAAGTCTATCTGCAAGATTCTGGGTAGCAATGAAGGTGGAAGCATGCAGTGCCGCAGGCTCCAAATCCCGCCCCTTTGGGGAAGTGATCCACTGCCTAGGGAAGGGAGGTGGGATTGTTTAGTCCTTTTGGATTATTTTTATGTTTTTCTTTAAATAGGAGTTTTGGTTAAGGGTTAGGGCATCATGAATATTGCTGAATTTTCTATTTCGTGTTTGGTTTCTTTGGCTTTAGCGGCGTCTAGAGATTTTGGAGAGATGGATCCTCCTCTCGAATAGAGGATCACTTATGTCTTGTTTTTTTTTTTTCTTTCGTTTCCATCGTTTCTACAAGAGAATGATAGGCCGGCCCAGGAGGGGCCGGCTGGACCGATCCAACCTGGACCGATCATGGTTTATTGCCGGCGGAACCAGCCAGGGAAAGGGGGGGACCACATGGTGGGCCCCAATTGGAGTTAAATCCAATATTAGGAAGGAAATTTTGAATTACAAGGGTGTTTCAGAAATTTGTATCCCTCCTTTAGCTTTAATTAGGGAGTAATGATAGAATTAGGTTTTCATCTTGAATTTGATTGTGATTTGAGATCTAGGGTTCTTTTTGTCACGACCCAACCTGACCGGAACGAGTCCCATCGCGTCGAGTCGCGACGGATGAATCCAGGATTTATCTTTGAAATTTGGTTTCAGACTTTCTTTCGAATAATCATACAGAAACATATTTCAATATACACAAATTCATTTAACATTTCTTCTCCTTCTTCAAAATAATCATGTACATTATAGTGCATGACTATAACAGAAAGTACATAATAGAACATAAAAGCCATGACTGTAGAAAAATCAAAAGTACAAAAATACCTAATCTCAAATCAGGCACGAAACAGCTAGTCCAAAACTTATTTCCCTTTTTCAGAACCTGAAAACCACACAGATAACAAGAATGAGCTAACAGCTCAGCAAGACTACACTAGCCAATCAAAATCTCCAGAAACTCACATCAAAATCATCAGAACAGTTCATTCAAGTAGCCGCACAAAATTCAGATAATCGTACAGAAACTCATATAATCAAACAGAATACAGATACTCGTACAAAATAGATAATCAAACAGAAATTAAATAATTGATACAGAAGAACTGATTTCATTTCATATAACAGAATTATTCAAATCAGATTTCAAATCAGAGTTCAGATCATATTTCAAATCACAGATCACAGAATCGTACAAATCATAAAGCACATTGTCAAAGCAGATAAGGTCACATATCACATATCCCTGACCCAGAGAGAATCTCAACGGATTCCGACCCCTTATGTCTCCCTTCCCTGACACAGACATAATCTCAAAGGATTCTAGCCACTTATGCCTCCCTTGTGCTTACAACACCAGAATATATCAGATATATAGAATTATCAGATCAGAATTTATTTTTAGATTCCCGGACCCTGATAGAATATCAAAGAGTTCTGGCCCCTTATGCATTCCTTCCCTGACACAAACAGAATCTCAAAGTATACCGGTCCCTTATAACTCCCTTCTGATAGCATTCAAACACATCAAATCATCAAATTCAGAAAAATCGGATTACATTAGAAGAATCGTCAGCGGCATAACGGTAGTCCACAGAAATTTCAATAGATCAAATCACAGTTTCAGATAATTACCAAATTACCACAGATAGTGTAAAATATCATTTTAAGACTTTCATTGTACTGAAGCAATATTTTCCAACATCCAGATAATTTTCTATTCGATAAAAACTCCGCATAATTCAAATTACTAGGTGAAAACTTTCCAGAAAATACTCAAAACGTGCAAAAACATCATCTCTACAACATACCAAAAGTTACGCGGTAAAAGTTTCGTCAATACAAAGATAGATCACTTTTAGGCTAATAGAAACGAAAACCGAAACAATAAATCCGTCAAAAACTACATTTCTGAAAATTGAGAAAGGTATAATGTGCCTTACCTCGAATAGATCAACTTTCCCAACTATGGCGACGGACGAAAACAGACCAAAGGCCTAAAATCCACTTTTTCTTCCTCTTTCTCCGTTTTTCTCTCTCCTCAGCTTCCTCTCTCTCTCTCTCTTCAAAAATGACACTATTCAGATATTTATCAAACAGGATCGTCCACGTCGTCCCGGGACGATCTCCTCTGGACACGGATCGTACATATGAAAATTAATTCCAATTCTTTCGTCCCTGGACGAGTTGCTCTCTGGAAAAATTTCGTACGGACGAACCTACCTTCGTCCTAGGACGAATATCTCTGTCACCAATTTATAACTGATCGTCCCGGACGATTCCACTTCGTCCGGACGAACCTGGAAGGAAAACAAAAGAAAACTGGCTTTCACACTTTTGCTTTGGGCTCTGTTACAAAGCAATAGTATCCACCATATTACATGATTTGACTCAAGAAAGTATTCCTTTAGCTTTAATTAGGGAGTAATGATAGAATTAGGTTTTCATCTTGAATTTGATTGTGATTTGAGATCTAGGGTTTTTTTGCTTTGGGCTCTTGGCGTTGCCGGAGATTTGGAGAGTTGTTCTTCCTCTCGAATTAAAGAACAATTGTATCTTTGCTATTTTGATTCATCGCCTAGTGGAATACAAGTCTCTACTTGACTTTTCTCTCAGTTTTTCTCTTGGATTTGCTGTTTTCCTGCTGTGGACAGCAGTTTTTCTATTGTTTGCTTATTGATTTGGGTTAGGATTGCTTGCGAACTCAAGTATTACCTTAGGGTTACTTGGGAACTCAAGTATTCCTATCAAAGAATTACTGTTTTTCCTGTTTTGGAGGGAGATTTTGGGTGACTTTTAGCTGTTTACTTCCGATATTGATAGATTTCACATGAATTCTTCAAGCGTGGCCTATCAAAATCTTGCATTTCTCCAAGCAAACTCAAACCTGGGCATATTAAAACTAAATATAAGCAATTACTGACAACATTTAAATATTCTAAACTTCTAGATAAAAACATACACGGCAATCATAAAAAATCACTTGGAAGTAAAATGATGTCTATGCAACCTATTAATTTGTGTTTCAACTTACAGTTGTGGTCTTGTAGACCTGAAACTCCATGAACTTAACTAAATTTAGAGCATTTTTTATGATTTCTTTTGTGATCAGAATTTTGTTTTCTCTCGATCACTTGTATAGTCCCCAATGGATTGGTGATGCACTGTTGTCTGCAGGATCCAATTTGTATATGAACATAGACAAACTTTATATAGACTATTTTAAACTTGATTTTCTGGCTGCATCTTAATGCTTTACTTTTCACTGTATTTCTTTTATGTAAATAGTGATTTGTAACTTTTGTTTTCTATTCTCCTTTTAATATAATAACTTCAGATTTTGATCCTCCACGAGACCATACTGGTTTGACGAAAGCTACTAAAATTATCATTGGAATATCAGCGTTTGTATTTAGCCTCATCTTATTGGCACTTGTCCTTTGGTGGAGGAAGAGATGCATCGAACCAAATTCCATGAATAAAGGTACATAATACCCCTCTAGAGTCGGGTTTGTTTGCACTAATTTGCATGTCTTTTTCCTTCTATTATTATGTAGATATTAAAGGTAGAATTGTTAGCATTTCATTAGTTATAATCTGGAAATTGTTGCAATTATATTCACTCATTCACTGCACTCTCAATTTAAATTTAATAAAGCATTTGCCACACTCGGGTTTAGTAGATGATGCAAACCGATAGCAAGAGTATTTAAATTTAAATTAATCTCAACTCATGACTTGAATTTTAAAAGTTATGTTCAATTATAGCTGTTTGTATTTAAGATAGGGATGTTTCACAAACACACACACACACACATATATATATATATATATATATATATATATATATATATATAATGGTAAGCAAGACATATAAGCACTAGTATAAGGAAATAAATAATATTTATTATATTAATAGAGTATTTAATAGTAGTTTTGTCACTCCTTATTTTGAGTCTTTTTAGTCAAGCATGGGATGTAGCAGAGGCGGGCAATTATTAAGCAACTATATATCCTTTTAGATTTAAAGATAGTACAACAATAATATCAAGAATGAGTGAACAATTTAGAAAATCAATATCAAGATAATAAAATGTTTAAAGTCCATCATAAAAGAAGATTGGAATCAAATCTTTCAAAGATTGGGAACACTACAACAACCGGCCAGCTACAATAACTTGAGGTTCAATTTATTTCAGCATTAAACTGGTCACAAACCAATTTTTAGTTCTTTTATTTTACTTATATTAAACCAGCTGGTCTAAACTTCTATTAAACCAAAAATCGGTTCATGTAAACCTCTATAAATAGACCCCAAGTGTTGTAATCGAATTCAGGAAATAAGATATATTTTTTCTACCTTTTCTTATCTCTCTTTTTTATTTTTTTACCTTTTCTAATCTCTCTTCTTCCTCCTCTTCTTTCCCAAAAGGTGCTTTCCCCTTTTTGACATAGATCAAGAAGCTTATCAGCAATCCAATCAAATACATTTCCCACAATGCCCATCATGACTTTTACTATTTAGAATCGAGTGACTAAAATCCAATCTGCTTTGGTTTGCGAAGATGAGCCAAGATCTTGTGGGACGATTCTAGGTTTGGAGGGGGATGTGTGATGAGGGTTGGGGTCTGGGAATAAGTTTGAGAAGTGGTGGAAGTGATGCAGGACTACTTAGATGACATGCTTATGGATTCATGTGGGCCTTGCACAACTAATAGATTAGAACAATTTCGAAACAAAATTACAAGCAATTTTCAAACAACAATTAAAACAAATGAGTGGATCAATTGCGTAGGCTAAATCACATGCTCCGAGTTTGAACTATCATGATAATTAAGAAAATAAAAGCAATACAGAATAGTAGTTTTCAAGTTAAATCCCTAATCTAACAAGGAGACGTAGGATGCATAGAAGAGTACACTCAATTCCTACAAATGACTAGTTTTGGCAAGAGCAATTGAAGGCGCTTTCGTGATTACAATCAACCAATTGAGAATTTAGATTTAGACTCCATTCTCACGGAAGGGTTGGGATGATTTTTGGCCACCAAGCTTCCAACTAAGAATCAGGCCACCAATCCGGATCAAAGAAAGAGAAAACGCTTTTCCAAAGTATTAAATCTAGAAAAGATATTTCCATTCATTAGTTTTAGACCTTTAGAGCCATTACATAATTGAAAATAAAAAAACTCTTAAGGAGGGTAGAGAGAAGACTAGTCGTTCCAAGTGTTGGACAAGGTGGCATCTTGAATTTAGGGTATATGAATTCCAATATTCAAATAATAATAAAAATATAAGTAATCATGCAGAGGAAAATATCCTAATATTCTCTCAATCATCATTGTCCTGCATCATCTTAATTGGTCTTAATACACTAATTGGTGACTACTGTCCAATTGGACAGCTTAAACAAATGGATAAATAGGGAAAACATAATTATGACAACTTCTTCTGTTTCACTTGAAATTATTATTTTTTTCCCGTAAAACCACCCTCATGTGCATCCCAACGGATTTTTTCACTAAAGATAACTCCAGAAGAATTCTACCTTAATAACTGTGGTGAAGCCATTTATCTTGCCATTTCATAATAAATGCGTAGCTATAACTAGATAAACCATCACGGCCTTGATATGACTTGAAGATCAAAACAACACACAACAATATAAAAAAACAGCAACTTACTCCAAATAGATCCAGAAATAACACAAAGAGAGTTGTTTTTACTAATTTCCAAGCAAAGTAAGACAAGGTACAAGTTGATTCACTGTTCGAGAGGTGAATTGTCTCTCACGATTCCTAGCAGCTACTAGGAACCCCAAACACCTCACAAAAACTCTCCAAATAAATCCAAAAATAACACCAAGAGAGCTGTTTTTATTAATTTACAAGCAAAGTAAGACAATATACTAGTTGATTCATTGTTCGAGAAGTGAATTGTCTCTCCCACAATACCTAGCAGCTACTAGGAATCCCAAACATCTCATTAAAACTTGCAAAAATTCAAAACATAACATAAAACATAACCCTCCATAATCTCCCCCCTTAAAGAGCCCGAATCCCCTAATAAAAGCTCCTTATATCTTTCCCAAAGAGTCCCCCACCCCCCACCCAAAATGTCTTCTCCTATAGATGATAAAGGAGGTCATGGGCCCCACCTGGGCAACTGGGCTGCTGCCTCCTCAGCTTTGCTATTGCCAGGCATGTTCTAACTGTGCAAGCACTCAGTCCCAACTAGGGTTCAAGAGGTGATTCTCTAGAGTGTAGCATTTTTGTCTTGTATGGCATTGAGTTCTCATGTTCTGGCTGGTCTAATGCTATGATGCTATTGATATCAACCTGAACTCTCAACCATCGATATACTGGTTGATTTGGCCTGATGATCTCATGATTTTTCCCCATTGGTGTAACTTCTTTTCCAGGGGTAACACATCCCCGGAGTGCTTTTGTATGAGCAAGCTTAACATTGAGATTTCTAATGAAATTCTAAACATTGCATCAAAATATGCCTCGGTGTTTAAGTGTTTAACTTTCTACTTGAAGGGGGTTTCACACTAACTTTTTGAAGTAATATTTCTTCATAAAGTAGAGCTTATAACGGGTTTGCACTTGGCATAACAGATGATTTTCCAAATACTCTGCTCAGCAAAATTCCCTGCTTTTTGAATACCTGTATGTAATCATGAATATATTACTTTATTTTCCTCACAAATATTTTCTCTTAAAATCCAAGTGACTGATTGGAACATGCTTAAGCATTAATTTAACATGCAGAAGTCCTTGCAAGCTTAAATACATAAATACGTCTGATTTTCTTACCAACCCTGCATTTAATTCTATCTTTAAAGCTGAAAACTTGGCAGCCTACTTGATTAGGATGCTTTAAACACATCTTCGTAGTAATGTTTTCTCAACAGATCTTCCAACTGGACTATTTACCCTACGACAAATTAAAGCAGCAACCAGGAATTTCGATCCAACAAATAAAGTTGGGGAGGGTGGTTTTGGTCCAGTTTACAAGGTAATCTTAATTTCTCTCTTTTTTTTTTTCTGCATTTTCTAGTGAATAAAAGAAAATCTAGCATTGTTTGCTTACTGTCATTATAAACATATCCACCAATGGTTGCAGCTTTCTTACCCTATTTTAAAAGGAGCTATTTGCCAAAATCGTTACCTTTTAAACACTCTCACAGGGTCTCCTATCAGATGGAACTGTAATTGCTGTGAAGCAGCTTTCATCAAGGTCCAGACAAGGGAACCGCGAATTTGTAAATGAAATAGGCATGATTTCTGCGTTGCAACATCCTAATCTTGTAAAGCTATATGGATGTTGCGTTGAAGCCAACCAGCTATTGCTAGTGTATGAGTATATGGAAAATAATTGTCTTTCTCGGGCTCTTTTTGGTAAGTTTTATTATCTATTACTTTGACTTCGTTTGGGACGGTTTTTTTCTCGCTTCTTAAAATAGCTTTTTAGTATAAAAAAATAATTTTTTTAACTAAAAAACTGCATTAAAAAGCTGTAAGAAAACCGTCCAAAACAAAACCTTTATCTGCAATCTTAAATTGAGATTCAAATAGCTAAAGTACATTACTTTTAATAGGGACGGATCCACGTTCAAGAATACATTTGGATTGGCCTACAAGGTGCAACATTTGCATTGACATAGCAAGAGGCCTTGCGTATCTTCATGAAGAATCCAGATTGAAGATTGTCCACCGAGATATCAAGGCTAGTAATGTGTTGCTGGATAAATCTCTCAATGCTAAAATATCAGATTTTGGCCTAGCCAAGTTATATGAAGATGACAGGACTCATGTCAGCACCAAAATTGCTGGCACTGTGTAAGTTATTAGATATTATTCTGTTTCTTCCCTAAAGAATTTGATAACGTACCAATCCATGCTATACTTTTTTGGTGATTCCAAAACCGCATTTTACCATTCCTCTTGATTGTTCATGTGCTATTATTGTGAAGACATTTAAACCTAAATGGTGGGCAACGTAACTATTCTTCATCATATTCTGGATTGTCTTTGTAAAGTCCGCTTTCCATCCAACCATTCCTGCAATTGAATGGTGAATCATAGTGCCATTGCCCTATTGCTGCACTCAGAATTGTTCATGAACTGATATGGAAGAATATTATGCAGATCTTTGGACTGAAAGTATTACTTCCAATTTATTCGTGCTGCAAGGGCAAGTTCATGTTAGAACTTAGGAGATGTTCTTGAGAGCTTCTTGAGCTCTTCTTGCAAGAGAGAGAGGGAAAGGGAGGAGAGAGAGAGAGAGCAATTTGGAGGAAATAAAACTAAGATTTATTTAGATTTTTCCCCAAATATTACATCACATACAATCTTTATTTATAGATATTTACATAGATGTGATAACCTGCATGAACAACATAACCTAAAACTAAATCAATTCATAACTGTTCAATTTCATGGGTAATATAGAATCTCGATAGAAAAGTTATTAGCTATTAATTCTATGCACCTTTGACAATTCTTTTCTCCTTCCCAGTTCTCAGATCAACTCTTTACCTCTAGATATTTTCAAGTTATCTGTAACAAAAGTCATTAAATTTTCATTTATTATCCCATTCAAAACATTTGTAGAATGATATGTTGAATTACTATTTTCTCTGGTACATTCTAGATTTATTGAATGATACTACAAGCTTTCTGCTCAGCTACTACAACTATGTTGAATATGCATTTCTTCATCCTGCAGGGGTTACATGGCTCCTGAATATGCAATGCGTGGTCATCTAAGTGAGAAAGCAGATGTGTACAGCTTTGGAGTGGTTGCTTTAGAGATTGTCACTGGCAAGAGCAACACAAATTACAGGCCTAAGGAAGAATTTGTTTACCTCCTCGACTGGGTAACTCTAAATATTGACAGATTTTTGTTCTCTCCTATTCATTTTATCATCCTAACTTAACAACTGTAGATTGATATTGTTATAAACAGATAGTGCTTCATGCGCCCAAGATTCAAATAATTTTGTCTATGATGCACCGACACTTCTCCTCAAAGTGGCGTGCAGTGTCTGACACGACACGCGTCCGCCACTCCTCTGACATGTGTCGGACATGCCAAAAACGTGTTTGATTAAAAAAATATTAAATACAAATTTGACACGTGTGTCTGACATGCGTATCTTAAATATTTTATGAATTCTTTTAAAACAAGTATCTTAAATACAAATTTGATGCTCGATGCTAGCAATTTTTACATCCATAACTTGATATCTCATCTTTGTCCAACGTCGTCTCAACATCGACGACCAACGCCCTCTCAACATCGATGATCAATGCCCTCTTAACATTGACGCCCAATATTTACTGCATAACATCAATGCCTAACTTTCGACAGCATTATTATCTCCTATCTTGATGACTGATAAACGGCATCGACGCACGACTCTCGACATCCTAATATTAATCATTTTAAGCTCAAATTCTAGTTAAATGATTTATTATTTCTGTTGCGTCCTGGAGTATTCGCGGCGGTAGAGAAATATTTAGTTTAACGTCTTAGCATTGTACATTTCTAAATTATTTTTAAAATTATACTTATTTAATTTTTATACACTATTTTTAAAATATAAAACTATAATACCGTGTCCAACCCGTATCTGCGTCCTATATTTTCAATAATTGACGTGTCCATGTCGTGTCGTATCTGTATCGCCTTGTCCGTGTCTGTGCATCATAGAATTTTGTCTATTCTTATATTAAAGTTTCTATTCTTAAATTTTCTTTGGGGATCACAGGCTTGTGTTCTGAAAGAGAAGGGAGAACTTTTGGAGCTGGTGGATACAAACCTGGGAACAGAATACTCGGAAGAAGAGGCTAACTTGTTACTGAATGTGGCCATCTTGTGCACAAATGCATCTCCTTCACTGAGACCAAGCATGTCTCAAGTCGTGAGCTTGCTAGAGGGCCGCACACCTATTCAACCCATGCTCGTACTTTCGAGCTTCTCAGACGAGAGCAGTAATGGCATCAGAAGAACTTTCTGGGAGAAACCCATGGAGCTCCGGGAGATATCTGCCGTGAATACCTTGGTTGATTCTTCAGTAAGCACATCTGCGCCAGAATATGATGAAGAGGACAGCTTTCTGGATGAATTCCCCAAACACTCAACAGGTGACTGATTTAGGCTCAGCAGAATTTCTGGAGTAGTTTGCAATGTAGATTTTCCCTGGGAGGATTAAGTCTTTGTTTGGGACGGCTTTCTTACTGCTTCTTAAAGCAGTCTTTTAGTATAAAAATTAAAATGTTTGTACTAAAAAGCTGTTTTAAGAAGCAACAAGAAAGCCGCCCCAAACAAAGACGGCTTTCTTATTGCTTTTTAAAATGGCTTTCTAGTAAAAAAATCTAATTTTTTGTACTAGAAAGCCGTTTTAAGAAGCAGGAAGAAAATTGTCCTAAACGAAGCCTAAATCGCTAGATCTAATAATCAATATCTGTAAATTTTAGCTTTAGAACAAGAGAGCTGGAGAAATTAGATGAATGAATAAACATGCTATGTAATAGATGGATGTGCCATAAATATGTCTCATCCATTGTAAGGTGTGGCATGCCATTTGAAGTTCTATAATTCTGTGTGTAAATGTAGTGAAGTAAGATTCAGATAGTTTGTGGCTTGACTATAAATATGGACAAGTTATATAGATTTTTGTTTTTTCACATTGAAGATCCACTCAAACTTCTATGCATTCAAAAACTAAGATTTCGCTTGGGACGGTTTTCTCACTGCTTCTTAAAACAGCTTTTTAGTACAAAAGTTTTAATATTTAAACTAGAAAGTCGCTTTAAGAAGCAGTAAGAAAGTCGTTCCAAACAAAGCCTAAAAAAACATTGGGCCATTGCCTAGCTTTTCATTGCTTTGGGGAAAACAAAGCTTAAGTCAATCCATCTAAGGTTTCGTTTGGGACGGTTTTCTTACTATTTCTAAAAGCAGCTTTCTAGTTTCAAAAATAAAATTTTTGTTCTAAAGAACTGCTTTAAGTAGTAAGAAAGCCGTCTCAAATGAAGCCTAAGAATGATTGGGTTGACTCCGTGTTCAAGTTGACACAATTAATCATATCTAAATGGAAAGTCAAAATTTTGTGTAGAATTCATAATTGAGTCAACCATAAGTTGGGATATTTAACCTCTCCAACATAACTAAAAAAATTGACTTATACTAACTCGCAACTCCTTTCAAAATTTACTTAATAGATTCTTAGGGAACTTAAAACTTGAGAGATATTCAAATTTCGAACAAAATTATTAGCACTAATTGATCTGTTTTTGTTGATGTGATAATCAAATGTTGGTTACTTGGATGGTCTCATTTTGGGTGATGATGAGGCGGGTTTCTTGCACGCCTATTTGGATGGTCATGCTTGTTTTGGCGACCTTGGTGGCTCTTATCTACGTGCTCAATGGTAGTTGTTGGGTCGTTCTGCTAATATTTCGCCTCCAATAGATGGTCCTAGCATGGCAATTAGTGGCGATTCTGAGTCCGACTGACTTCAGAGCCTTATTTAGACAATTTTGAATTTCATCTCATTTTCAGATTGTACTGAAATCTGTCTCTTATTGTGATTTGCTAAGCTTTGTTTTTTTGTAGTGAGTTTGCCTATGTTGACCTTTGGTTGTATGTCGCCTTTTATATGAAATAAAATAAATAGTTTGCTTAAAAAAAAAAAAGATAAAACAAATGTTGGTTTTGGTTTCTATTTGGGCTAACCCAATAAAGCTGAAATAATACCTCATTTACATATATTTTATATATATAGTTATGTATGTATTGTATGATCATCAACAATTGATAAGAATTTAAAATTTTGAACCATCAATCCTATTTGAAAGTCTTCACCCACTCTCTTTATCTTCTTTCCTTTTCTCAACCACATCTTCTACCCCATTTTTGTTTTTTTTGTTTTTCCATTTTAACATCTCAAACATCAATAATTAACATAAATAAAAAAAGGGTGTTTCCTATCAACCAAAGACTACATGATAAACATTCTCCTCACTAATAAAAAATTGACTTGAAATGTAATGTTAAATAAATTAACACTAAATATAAAAAAAATGTTCAACTCATAATTTTACAAATCTTTTAAAGAAGTTCTAAATTCAATGTAAATCTAGGGGTGTAAGCAAGTCGAGTTTTTTTAAATCTGATGAAGTCGAGTTGAGTCGAGTTTTTTTACTTAATTGAGCCAAGATTGTTTAATTTATGCTAAGCTCAGACTCGAGCTCATTTGTTATGCTCAACTTGGCTCAAGCGGGAAATTTGTGGCTTGAGTTTGAATAAGAAAGCTCGAGAATTGCTGGTTTTGAAGCTTGATTTTTTATTTTGAATTTGAGCGAAAAATAATTAATTGGGCTAATATAAATGTTGATGTGTTAATTAATATTTATCAAGTTGCCTCAACAAGTAGATGAGCTGATTAGGATTAAGCTCGAGCTCGAACTAGTATAATATATGAGCTCAAATTTAATTTTGAACTCAAACTTATGGCTCGATAAGTTTGTTGGACTCCCAAGCTTATTGGTAAGTTGAGTTCGAACTGGCTCACGAGTCGACTGAATTCACTTACACCCCTAAATAATTATGCATGAAAGTTGATTATTATGTTATGCGATACATCAAAATCACTCCCATTCTAAAATGTAAAAACATGTTGATGTTATTATAAGAACAATTACACACTTTATCAAATGGAGTCATAGCCAACAAACCTTATTGCAAGCAAGAAGCTATAAATATACACACCATTTAAAAAAATTAATTCCACAAATGTTTATTTTTTATATAGGTCTTATTATTCACCTCCATTTGCTTTTTTTCATTATTGATTAGTACTTCTAAATTTTAGTCTTATTAACTTTATTCTTAAATTTTCTTAAATAACTCATTGATATCTAATTATTTTAAGAAAATAATAATAAAATAAGACTCATTAATTATTCATCCCTTGAATGTATATTTTGTCATGTATTAATATACTTGCTTTATTGATGTTTATAATACATTATTAAAATTTTGGGTTTTCCATCGCTGGACTTCTACACGACGCCGGACTTCCGCCCGTCATCAAATTTCTATCCGAAGCCGAACTTTTGCTCGTCGTCTGGCTTCTACCCGACGCTGGACTTCCACTAGTCTCAAGGATTGTGCTCGTCACCAGACTTTCATCGGACTTTTACGCGACGTTGGACTTCCGCCCATCACTAGACTTCTAACTGCCGCCGGACTTCCGTCGAACTTTTATCTAACATCGGATTTCTGTCCATCGTTGAACTTTTGCCTAACACCGAACTTCCGCCAATCGTTGGATTTCCGACCTCCATCGCCATGCTACGACTTTTCGACCTTTGTCGCTTGCCAATAATAGTCCTTTCGACCTCCGTCGCCCACCGACTGCGGTTCTTCCGGCCTCTGTCATCAGACAATGGTCTTTCTGAGTTCCGTCTCCCGACGACTATAGTCCTACTGATCAAACGAACATATCAATATCGGTTCGGCTGCCTACGCCTACAGTCCAAATCGAACATTTTTTGGATCCTGAAATCATTTTTTTACGTTTTGAACCCAATTTCGAAACTTTCGGAGTTTAACGGAGCCTCTATGGTCAAATTTGAGCCAATTTAAAATTTTGGAACATAGTTTTCTTGCAATTTTTTGCGATTCAATCAATTTAAAATATGTTGTTATGTATTTTCGAACTTATGAAAATAGAGGCCAACTATTATATCATCAAAAAATTTATCCTAATCAGACATGAATCTCGAGTCAAAATTAAGTTGGAAACTTCAAAAATTAAATCCAGGAACATATGAACTCTGATTTCAGCAAACTTATAATCAAACTTAACGTCTCGAAAACATGAACCAAACAACACCAAATTTAACCCAAACCGAGCTCAAATAGGTCCAAATTAAAGACTCGAAGGGCATTTGGAAGGTTCAATCCATAATTTGAATTAGCAAATAGTTTCCAAATGTTTCATGCTATAGCCGAATCGAGTGGCTCAACGAGTCAAATCCAACAAGATCAATAACACTAAATTCCGATATCATTAAAGCACTCAAATACTCAATAAACGATTTATGATCAAAATAATCAACATCGGCCATCCATTCAAACCACTTCCAATTTGCCCATGATCTTCTCCTTTTTATGCCATGCCACTCTCAGAAAATTATAAATTGACCCCTCATTTCTGGGGGGGGAATGGAAACCTTAAGTGATAAGTGAAGGAAGAGTTCTCTTGCTACCAGTCTCCTCCTCGACCACTGTTGGACTTCAGCTCAGCCACCGACTGACGCCATATTTATGCCCGGCCACCAACTAATGTCATACTTCGGCTTGTCACTAGAGTTCCACCCATCGCCAAACTTTTTCCCGTCGCTATATTTCTAATCGACGCCAGACTTCTGCCTGTTGCCAAACTTTTGCCCATTGTCGGAGTTCTTTCTATCGTCAGACTTTTGCATGTCGCCAAACTTTTGCCAGCCGTTGAACTTTTGTCGGACATATACCTGATGTTGAACTTCCACCGACGTCGGACTTTTGTCCATTGTCGAACGTCTACCCAATGCCGAACTTTCACCCATTGCTGAACTTTTGCCATTCACCAGACTTTCATCAAACTTCTATCCGATGTCGCACTTTCGCTCTTCGCATGATTTCTACCCGATGTCGGATTTTCACTAGTCACTAGACTTTTGCTAGATGTTGGAATTCCACCTGTCGTCAGACTTCCGTCAATTGTCAGACTTTCATCGAACTTTTATTTCTGCACGTCGTTAGATTTCTATCCGATGCAGGACTTCCGCTCGTCACCGGACTTCTAACTGTCGTCGAACTTCTGTCTCATTGAACTTCTGTCTGACGCCAGACTTCCGCCCATCGTCGGGCTTCCGACTTCCGTCGATAGACAATGCTCTTTCCAACCTCTGTCACCAACCAAAAACAGTCCTTTCGACCTCCGTCAACTATGGTCATTCCGACCTCATTCATTGATTTTGGGCCTTTCGACATCGGTCACCAGACAATGGTCTTTCCGACCTCCGTCCCCCACCGACTATGGTCCTGTCGACCAAACGAACACATCAATATTGATTCTTCCAATTTATACCATGTAATGCTTTCTATATAATGTATATTTATTACATCAAGCCAAGGGCTTCCCTCCAATAAAGGGCCTCATTTGTAATCAATTACAAATACTAGTGGATTCATTTAAACTGTACTATGCCCCATTATTTTTCCCCTTTTCAGGGCTTTTAATGTAAAAATCTTGGTATCTTATAAATAATGCATCCTCTTTCTCATTTGATTGTGTGCTGGATCTTCGTAGAAAACTAAGACGTTAAACTTTTTATTTATCTATCGTTGCGAATATTCCAGGATGCAACAGGGTTAAAATACAACCAGCCTTTTTTTTATTCACTTAACAACTATATAAATATGGATGCACTTATAAGCCCTATCCGAACTTACTTGATTAAACATCAAATACTTGAATTCATACATGATTGATATCAAATTGTTGAATATAAAAATTTTACCATCTTGACATTTGTTATATCATATTCGTTAGATACATTGCGAAACTTTTTAAGTAAAAGAAACTAAACTTTTAAACATCAATATGCCTTTTAGTGTAATGACTATAATTTCTATAAGAAATTCCGCAGCTAAGCGTGCTCATCCTAGAGTAATTCTGGGATAGATGACCAACTGGAAAATTACATCAACATGACAAAATCGTGAGGCTCTTAGGCCAAAGAAAAAATCTCTTGATGATTAAGAATTTGAGCTGTTACATACACGATACCAAAAAATATAGTACGAGAACTAAGCGAACAAATCTTGAAAATTTTAAAATTTGCAAATATAAAATGAAATTAACTATTTACTAAACTAAATAGTAAGAACATATTCTAATACAATTTAGACAAATATATATTTTAAATTAATATTATATATACAAATTTATATAATCTAAACTTAAACAAATTTAATAATTTCATAATTAAATACATAAAATTTGCATAAAAATATCTTTATATAATATAATATAATATTGAATGTACACATCACAATTAGTATAAATGCAGAAGGAGCCACAAATCCCGGCCTGAGCTGGCCGGCCATAAGGGTGGCGGTCAACTCATAAATGATAAATCTCTTTAGGAAACGCGTTTTTATAAAGAAAAAAACGGCTTCTCAGTCAAAAGGGCCATCGTACCCTCCGTCTAATTTCTGACTCGGAGAGGAGAAAGTAAGACAGAAAGCAGAAGGAAACCTAAAGAAGCAGACAAGAACACAGCAGTGAGAGAGAGAGACGGAGAGACAGAGCTCTTTTAAACCAACAATGAGATGAGGAGAAGAGATCCGTTCGTCTTCCCCAACTGCTTCGCCGTGGATTGTAACCGGTTGTTGGCGCTTCTATGTGTTTGGAAGCTACATCGCTAGAGTTAGCATGGGCGAGCCACGGCAGACGGCGCATCCGAAGCAGCCGGCCGCTTTGATCGCGACTCTGTCCAACGCCGTTGAGGCCCTTGGGCGGGGCTTCGATGTCACTGCGGACTCACGACTGCTGTACTGCAAGGGCGCACCGGGATCCCGCCTCGTTCGGCTCGACGAAGCCGTATCATCGGATTTCGCCGTCTCTGAATTTGGTGTTGGTCTGGCTGGTGTTCCTGCTGATGTGGATATCGTTAGAGGAAGGCCGGGGCGGGAGACGACTCCGGTCTGTAGCTTCCGAGAGGTTAGCCCGATTTTGGTGCTGGCGTTTATGGGGCTCTGTATTTTCTGTTTTGCAGTTTTCTATTGATGATTTTTGGTTGTCGTGGCAATCGGATGCATTCTAGTCTGCCTTTTTGTTTGGATTCTTGTTTACTCTTTCACTGATCTGAGAAACTTTTACTTGCTTTACTAGACAATTTGTTTGTTGTTTCTGGACTCTGGTTTGTGCTTATGTGGTTTGTTGCATTGGGTGGGTATTTTATGAAATCCAATCACGGCATAGTGTTCTAAATTATATAATTTTACTTGGAATTACTTCTTGTTTTTTGGATTAGACTCGAGCTGCATTCATGTTTAGTTACAGCAGCTAAAGAACACTGTGCGGACTATGATATCTTGGCATAATTTATATTTGACCTATATTGCTTTAGTCAATTTGGATAAGAATGAGGTTCGTAACGAGTAATATTTATTGGAATTTGATATTTGTCTGAAATGATCATCCGCAGGAATGCATGGTGTTTGCACTGTAGGTACTCGAAATAGCACTTATGAAATTACTATACAAAGTGAATTTCTTGATACCAATCATAATCATTACCCTTATCAATGAGTTGGAATAGTATTAATTAATTCTTCTTTGATATTACTTCATGTTAAGTTCTGCATGGCATGTTCAACTTTTATGTGCAATTTATAATTTTTTTTTTTTTAACCTGGGCACACTTTCTATTTCCCCTCTATCCCCAGTACGAGATGCTATAGCAATTTTTCATTGTGCATTCTAGAAGATGGTAAGAAGCAATGACAATTTATTACATTTGCGAAAATCTTTGCGTGATCTATTTGAGATATTCGATCATGGGGAAATTGTTCTGGGTGTTGTTGTCATGCCATTCAGGCCATCATTGGACATCATTTAAAACCTATTCTCTTGAAAGTGAATCACTCTCCTAACCTTCTCAGTGGTTTGTTAAGCTTAGCGAATTCTAATTCTTGTGCAGACCAATGATTGCCATTAGCGTAAGTGTAGTCGACTTATTACTAACTGCATACTGTTTAGAGTTGAAGAGGATTTGAGACCTATGAATACTTACTGTGGTCTCTCTTTGACAATGATGCCTGAGGAGTCCTAAGAGTTCGGAGGAATCATGTTAAAAGCTTAGTAGAAATTTGTCTAATGCATGCTGATCGAATTTATTTTCAAGTCAGTAATAACCAAGTAGATTATAAGGGTCTACTTGTTGGCTTGCAATTTGCTTTAGGAGTTGACACAAGCATTTCACCACCAACTCCCTAATCATGTTAATGAAGAAGTTGAAGCTTGAGATACCACTATGCAAAAACACCTTTTCAAAGTCAAATTTGAGATCAACAAATTGAAGTAATTTTGTATCAAACAAATCTCTCTAGAACATAATCAATTCGTTGACTTACCAAGTGTGGAAATGGTAACGGTCAACTTGCAATCGATCTTATCTATTCGAGTATTAAGAAACTTGAAGCTAAGCAAGTCAATGTCATTGTGAGTTGCGTTGATCCATTTATCAAATATCCTTCAACATGAGAAATTCCATTTTATATCAAAGACCCCACGATGTTTAAATTTAAGGCGGCACAATACTTGCTCATTGACGGTCAACTTTTCAATAGATCATTAAGTATGACTAATCTTTGAATGCACACAAGGTTAAGCATATTAATGAGATTTATTATGGGGAGTGTAAACATCACTAATGAGGAAAGATACTTGCCCATCAAGTTCTGCGATAAAGACGCTTCTTGCTTACAGTGTAAAAAGATTCAAAATAGTTATTGGGAATGTGCATTCAATGCAAATAATTTGATCCCTTGAATTTAAAATACCTCTTCAAAATTAAAATTGAGTTCAACAATCAAAAATACTTTTGTATTGAACAAATCCCTCTAGAATATAACTAATTCGTTGCTTACCAAGTGTGGATATGCTAATAGCTGGCTTGCAATTGATCTTACCTATTCAAGCATTAAAGAACTTGAAGCTAAGCATGTCAATGTCATCGTGAATTGTGTTGATCCATTCATTGAATATCTTTTAGCATGCAAAATTCCCTTTTGCATCGAAGGCCCAATAAGGTTCAAATTCAAAGCACTACAATATTTGCTTATTGATGGTCAACTTTTTAGAAGATCAATAAGTACGACTAATCTCTGAATGCACATGAGGCTAAACATCTTAAATGAGGTTCATTATACGAAATGTGAAGGTCATTGAGGAGGAAAGACACTTACCAGTCGAGTTCTACGATAAGGATACTTCTTGCGAACTATATAAAAAAATATTCAAAACAATTATTGAGGATCAAAAATAAATTCATGCTGACACTCAAGCTTTAGTATATTCTATATCCTTAGTTATTTGTTATATGGGGATTGAACTTCGCCATTTCTCTCCGATAATAATGATTTATTCTCATCATGATTGACTATTGTACAAAATGGATTGAAGCCAAATCTCTTATAGAGACAACTTTAACAATAGTTCTAAATTTCATATGTATCGACATCATGTGCCGCTACGATATAACAATGGTGATTAGTCCTAACAACTATCCATTAATTTGATGATAAGTGAAGAATTATGTTAAAGCTAAGAATTTGCTTAAACTTAACCTCTGTACGCCATCCTAGAACAAACAAACATGTATAAACTCCAAATAAGCTAAATTCAATTCTTATAAAAAAATGTTAAGGCACCAAAGGCAAATGGGTTGAAATATTACTATTAGTACTTTGGGTTTTGAGAACTAAGCTTTTTGTATGCTCAAGCCAAACTCCCTTTCCCATCTTTTATGGATCCAAAATGCTCTTGTATAATACAACTTGCACAAAAAAAAGTTGTTGTTGCTTCAAATGTTATGAAAGAGAACTGGGCGATTGGAGAGAATCTAATAAAGGACTGCAAAAATTTGTCTTGAGATTTTTTAAGTACTCATAATTCAATCATTGCAGTGAGAAGAATAGGTAAAGAGGCAAGAGGCTAGATTTTATGGTGCAAATGTTCGTTAAGGAAGCTTTTGCTTAGAAAACCTCATCGCTTGGAAAGTCAATGCTACATCATGACAATCCATCATTGGAAAACCTGCATTTACATTATAACTACCATGTAGGGGTGTAAGTGACTCAAGCCGGCTCGGGTTCAGCTCGATAAATTATTTGCGAGCAGAGCTTGATGAGCTAACGATCCAAGCTTGAGCTAGCCCCAACTAGAATCGTAAGCTCATGAGTCGGTTCATTTAAAACATATTAATATAAAATATACTTAAAATATATTAGAATTTAGGATTTTAAAATATAAATTTTTTAAAAATATTTTAAAATTATATCACAATTTTATATATTAAGTTATTCTTTATTATTTATCTAATAATTTCTCATTCTTTTTATCATTTTATTATAATAATTTGTTAAATCATAATTATTTTCTCTCTTTCATAATAAATGAGTTGGTTCGAACTCATAGAATAAAGCTTGAGCTTGAGCTCGAACTCGATTAATTAATCAAGCTCACGCTCAAGCCAGGGGTGACTCGAACTTGTCTCGACTCATTTACACCTCTACTACCATGCACTATCAAAGAATAAGTTGTCCCTAGAGCATATTGACTTAAACTTACATCATGAATGACATTTCAAGATCATGGCACTGAGACAACTTAAAAATATTTTATCCTTAAAAGGGAAGCACACTAAAAACCTTATAAATTGAGATGTTGATGAATTATATCTAAATAATAATTAAAAAAATTCTTGAATGTATGCATAATTGATTAAGCAAGAGGCATACATGCCAATGGCGCAAAATGGGGAGTGCCATGGCACAATGCACCCACATACGACACTATTTGTTTGGCGTTGCGTGACACATCAAAATAGCGCAAGCTATTTGCACCATACATGGGCAATGATATATGTGTGTGTGTGTGTGGCTCGTGCCACGCCGTGCGTTATGCTCCATGGCTCCACTGAGAATATTTTGTTGTGGTGCGCTATTCGTCATTGAAAAGTATGGCAAGAGGCAAACTGGTTGTAACAAACTATTTATGTAGTCAATACGAAAGGGCATGTAACAAAATGCTAGACTATTCCCTACAAGTGAGTTATGACACATGAGTGGTCGGACAATCTGCACTCGATGAAATCATTTTTATCTTAAAGCATGAGTTTTATTCAAGGAGAAAATTAAATTTGATGAACATTCTAAAAATGATATTCAGGACTGTAAGTTGTGTGTTTATCTGTGAGTATTTTAGCAAGTCTCAACTCTCTAAGTCACTTATGATTGTAAGCTACAAATTGCTATTCTATCATATCTACAAGTCAACCAACAACTTATTTATATCTGCAATTCTGCACTCAAGCATTCATTAAAGTCGCATGATAAGTATTATATTGAATCCTAAAATATCGAGTGCTAAAAGTTGAGCCGTTGAAATCAGTCTCCCCATTGACGACCAAATTCATATTGTGAGAGAAAAAAGTAAAAAACCACTCTAATCTTTTGAAGATTAAACCTCTAGTGTAAGGTTTTGCTTATCTTAAAGGAGACCAATATAGTGCACACTTAGTATTCGTTAAAGTTGCGAAGCAAGCATCACGTCAAACTTAAAAATATCTAATGGATAAAAGTTGAGCCATAGAAGTTGGGTCTACCCTTTGCGACAAGATCTACATTATGAGAGAGAAACACATTGTGATGGTGAGACTTACAGATGGTTACCTTCGGGAAGTGTAAAGCTTTAAATAAGGTGCTGCCCATCATAAAGATAATGATTTGTTCTAACAAGATATAATGCAAATTAAAGACCGAGCAAGAATTTAGATGAAACTTATCTAGGAATTCCCATACAAACAAGTAATATCTTAGTTATTACTGGCACAAAAGAAATATGATATTCATAAAGACATTACATGCATAATTTAGAAAACCCAATTTTTTATTTACAAATTAATAGGTACAAGTTCCATTCTGTGTTCACCTCCCAGGACTTTTACAAAGAGTAGAAAGAAAAAATCATTTTAAGTATTCTCCGACACATCAATATCTTTGGATTGTACTTCATCTTCTGGTTAAGACTCATCCATCCTAGCAAAGTTGGCGACACTGGTTTTCATCTAGTCCAATGATGTCTTATTTTGCCAAAATCTTCAAACATAAGCGGATCCTTTGTTTGTATTCCGCAAAAAACGAGTTCATGCAATCTTATGACAGAATTAAGTTGTAAGTCAAGTTGCCCTTGCTTGGACTTCAACCAGCTTGGCATTCAACTTGGGATTTCTACGACTAGTGATTCTAATTTTAGTTGATTTTTACAATCCGTCAATTCATATTTGAGGGACTTTTTGCTCGAGTCAGCCTCAGTAAGGGATGACTCAAAATTATCTATAGAGTTTTGCAATTCCAAAGCTCTTTCATTTGTTATTTACTGTATACGAGAATAGTTGAATATCATAACTCGAGTTCTGATATGATTCTTGCATGTTCTCGAGTTTCCATCATGTCTTCTCTATCTGGTTAGTTGCCATTGTAAGGGAGGCCTCCTTCTCGAACACTTGTTCCTTTAAGATGGTGGCAATGTCCAGAGCTTTGAGCCTTTCAACCTTCTCTATCTCAATGGTTGTCCTAATGACAAACTATTTCCTTGCTGAAGGTGACTTCCGTTTTTTAGTCTTTTATTGACATTTTTATTTTCTAAGTTGCTTTTCGTGCCTGGCATACAACTAGTAGTTTCTTGCAAAAAAGTTGGATTGCCAACACTCAACTTGTTCCATATCACTTCTCCACATATGAGATTTGTGGGCAACATCTCCATCTTCTTATGTGGCTGACTTGAAAAATTGAGTGCTGGAGACCTACATAGAACATTAGATAGATTCCCCTAAAAAAAACTATTTCTTAAATTAGATTTCTCACTGTATAAATGTAGTAGTTGAACCAAATGACAGATTTATTCTATCAACCTGGAAGTGTTTTGATGGTCATGTAATATATAGATGACAATTACTGTGTTGTCAATTGACGAAAACATTAGCTAATCATGAAAATATACTGTTCTTATATATTCTTGTGGTGCAGCTGTAATAAAAAAATGTCTGTACCCATTTTAAAGAGTTGAGGATCCTTGGATACATTCATGACATAATGCTGCAATCATTAATTACTGCCTATAGTTATGCTGTACTACTGACTTCTGTGGAAACTTCAAATAGCATATGATATTTCTTCCCAGTTCCCTCCATCTACCTTTTCTTTTAAATTTAAACGCCATGCCCATTTACAAACACAGATCAAGTTAGGCATCTTATTTTTTATTTAGTTTTGCATGATATTATTTTCTTATATGTTTGGAACTGCAAAAACATATTACAGTTTTTCTCCATGTTTTCCAGATGGCAATTCATTTCAACAAGAAGTCATCACTGACAGAATCAATACCTCTTGGAAGCTTTAATTCTATGTTCAGTTTAACGGGTTCATGGAAAACTGATGCAGCAGCAATAAAATCCCTGGCAGTGGTGGGTTATTACATCCCACTTTTTAAAGCTAAATTGGTTAATTTTCAATTAGTTTTACAAGATGATGTGAAGCGTGCTGTTCCACGTGCTTGGGAGCCTTCTTCGTTGGCCAGGTATGCAGTGTGATGCAACTTCATTGCCATTTTTTCATCGTTGTGCAAGAGATTTAGCTCTGCTTTTATAAATAATTTTTTTTAATTTGCTTATATATTCTGGAAGGATATGGTTTTGTCTTAAAACTATTACTGAATCTAACTGTAAATAGAAACAAGATCAGTGAAACGTGATGAGTGATTTATGTACTTGGCTTCATTTGTATCTTTTTGTCTCATTGAGATTTAATCATTGACATATTCTTTTGCACTTATATTTCAGTTTCATTGAAAACTTTGGGACACATATTATCACCTCCGTGACTATTGGTGGTAGAGATGAAATATTTATCAAGCAGCACCGATCATCTCTTTTGCCTCCATCAGAAATTGAGAAATATGTAAATGGTATTGGAGATCAAAGATTTTTACTGTTGGAGAATCAGGTCTGTGCTTTCTGAAGTAATGCATTTTTCTTGGTGTAACAGAGGGCTGGCTATTTGTTTGCAATTCTTATTTTTTTGAATGGATGTTCACAGCTTGGTGAGTTATCACTGCAGAATAGCCCTGAGACTCGAACTCAGCCATCTGACATTCCACATCTAAGTGGGAAAGAGGCAAGGGCTTATGCTTGTAGAGCTGTTTGATACTGCATTGTTAATTTCTTTCATGTTGTCTCCATTGTTTTCGTTAAAAGAATTTAATATGTGTGCTTTTGATTAGGATGTTACAGTAATATTTAGAAGGAGAGGTGGTGATGACCTTGTTCAGAATCATATTGATTGGGCAAAAACTGTTGCTTTTGCACCAGATGTTATTAACATGACTTTCATTCCCATAGTTTCATTACTGGATGAACTGCCTGCAACAAAATATCTAGCTCGGGCAATTGATCTGTATTTGGAGTGTAAGCTTGCACATAGTGCATATTCACCTTTTTTTTTTTAATTTCATTGCATCCAGTTTTGCTTTATCAATTTACACAAGTTCTGGTGGTTTCTCTTCCTCACAAAAGCATACTCTCAAAAAGAAAGTGGATGCTTATTATAGCTATATTTTACCTTCGAGTTGTTGAAGATTTTTTAATCCAGTTGAATTCCTCGATTGTGATGGCAAAGAGAATGCAGATCTATAATGATTATTGGTTTATTTTTTCTTGTTTAATTGAAGAGATTTGAATGCAATATGATAAATCTCAAAGCTTTAATATACAATGAGGCTTACTTTCTACATCATTTATGTGCATTTTTCAGTCAAACCGCCTATAGAGGAGCTGCAGTATTTCTTGGATTTTCAAGTTGAACGAGTTTGGGCTCCGGCTCAAGATAATATTCCTGGTCATATGAGGAAGGAGCCAGTGTGCCCTTCACTCCAGTTTAGCTTGATGGGGCCCAAGCTATATGTCAGTTCACACCAGGTATAGAATATGCAGCCATTAACTTTGAACTGAAATTTGTTCTGTAGATAGTACTTTTCTTGATTCATTAACCCTGATATATTTATGGGCATATACACTTGAGCCCCATCCTTACTGTGCAATCACTTCAAATCACAATACAAGATCTTTTCAAGCAGCTTAAATTAAAGTAAACATTGAAAGAAAAACCTGAGGTTATACTGCATAGTGTTGATCCGCATAGTCTTCATTTATTGTGTTGATTTCAATGTAAGTAGAGGAAACATAGAGGATAGAAGAGAACACAGACCATCTATTCTTTTGTAAGAATAGCATAAACATAATAACAATGATAATGATGATTATGATTATGATTATAGTAATAATAATAATAAAATAATAAAATTATTATTATTATTATGCTGCTGATGATAATTTGGATGCAAATTATGTTAATTTTTAATAAATAGAAAGATAAATATAATTTGTGTGCCTTTTTCATGATTTAGTATTTTATTTTGGGGGGATTTATATACATACCACTGATTTCTTATGCATTGACATAGCTAATATTTAAATCTTTATATCATAAATTAAATTTATATTATTTCTTAAATTTATCAAAAATATATATTGTTTAGATATTTTTCTTAAAATAAGAAAAGGTGGTAACCAAATCTAAAATCAAAACTAAATGGCTATATATATATATATATATATAATTAAAATTTTGTCCTTGTTCCTTCAACAATTAGTGGAAGCTCTGATTTCAACTTACTGGTAGTTCCCGTTCGTTTTCTATTTCTTGGAATCAAAAGATGTGACGCGGGATATTGAGATCTAGGATATTCCTATTGCAAACTAATTGAAAAAGCTATTATTAATGTAAATTAAATAATAAGAGAATAATTTATGGGTTTTCTGATGAAAATACAAAACGACCTATGCAAAACATATGAAAAAATTAGCATGCCAACTTGAAAGGAAACTGATGCGCTACACATAATTATTCTGTTAGCTATAAATAGTAGAGAATAAAAGAAACTTAGGGTGGCATGAATTGTTGGTGATCACATGCAAAGAAACAGATAGTAAACCATAAGATCTAAGATTATCATAGACCTACATAGATCGAGATTTCATGCATACACCCTAAATATGGATCAGCTATGAATATGGATTAGTGCAAGGAGGAGCAGAAGAACAAAGATATTTCATGTGGTAAAATTTTCAAGCCTTACAGTTGAAGTGAAAGAAGACGTCATCATAGAAAGCTTTTATTAACGAGTAGCTAAAGATGTTTACATTGCTTTGTATACCCTTATTAAAAAAAAAAAAAAAATCTAATCATAGAAAAAAGTGGCTTCTTTTGTCCTACCAGATGATATTTTAAGGTATATGACATGTGAGAGCTTACTTTATGGAACGGTCATAAGGTAGGTTCTTTGATTGTAGACTGAAAGAAAGAAACTCAATTATAACTCTGCTTAGACTGAAGTGCAAACTCCAATTGACAAATAAAGCTCAAAATAAGAAAGGCTGATGCAGTGCAAGGTTTCGTTGCTGATATTGACTAAAAATTTTGAGCTCTTCATCAATGTGGTAATCTTTGCAGAATATACTTCCTACCAGTGTCATAGAATTGTTTGCGATTAAGCTCTGTCTAGTTTCATGCAGTTGCATAGTTATATCAATTTTAACTTGCAAATCAAAACTAAGGAAAGGTTCATAGGCATGCTTTGCATTCTTTACTAGCATTTTGTTTAGGTTTAAAAGGTGCTTAAGGTTCCCCTTAAGCATGGCAAATAGATTTTAGTGCCGCTCTTTTAAATACCAAAATTTAATCCTAACTTAACTGCTGAGGAGGCTGAATTAGCTTCTCTCGCTTAACCCAACCAGGTTGTTGCTGGCCAGTGAATGCCAACTGGTTGCAGATTGCCTTCAAACGTTAGTGAGATTGTTGCTGCCAACCACAGTCAGTGGGAATTGAGTGCCAGTAGCGGCCTCTAGTAGTTTGTCCAATTTCACATCAAAAGTCATGCGATTCTGCTTTATGAACTCAACCAAGCTTAATATTAAAACTACTCCTGAATTATTTTTTATCTTATATCGTATCTTTTTAAAAAACCTAATGGCTTAACTATTTTTAAACCATAAGCCTCAGAATTAAACTATTAAAGTAATGAAAATATGAAATAATAATTTATATACTAATATCAAGATTTCAAAATAAGATCATAAAAAGTCATACAAGGATACAACAAGTCTCTCCCACTCCCAAATTCAACATAAATAAGAAGTCTAAGATCATAATTTATGAATTGATAATTTTCTTGATAAAGTTGGTGGCATGGTAGCAATGAAGGCAAAGGAGTGGTTTCAAGAGCTTTGGTTGTGGTAGTTGGAAGGCAAAGATGACACAATAACAAGGTTGGTGTACCCTCACGTACGGATTCACTTCGGTGTGCGAGCTTGCGGTTTCTTAGGTCATAAGCCATCGTTTTATTGCTTTATTTATTTTTTTTAATGAAATAAGTTTAGATGTAAAATTTGAGGCATTTAAATTAATTTGAGACTTTGAACTTATAAATTAGAAGAGCCTAACTTTATCAATTTGAGGCTTACACTTCAACAAATGAGTGTTGATGTGTGCCTCACTCAAAAGGGGTATGCCTCAAATCCTTTATGTGTGCGCCCCAGATTACACAATTTTAAATCATAAATTTGATGAAAAGATTAGTGATTCTGAGGATGCTTTGATTGAGAATCCTTTGAATATTATGTGATGCATTTTTGCTACACTTCAAGTTAAATTTAATTGAAAAATAATTTCTATTTCCTAAATTTGTTTCAAGCTTGATGAAAATTTTGGAAACTCACTATAAATAGTGTGATTTCTATGAATGCTGTGGCTAAATTTACTATTGATCTTAGAGGTTTGAGACATGAGTAACATCTAAAACTATATTAACTGGCCTATATGGATAACACTATTATTTTTGTGTCACAAAGATGTTTAGTTTCCATTCAACTTGCTACCTTTACTGATTAAATTTGGTGTGATGTTCTCCAAGTGTACACTTTTATCCTTGAACATTATACCAGACTTAAAAAATAGGCTACTGACACTTTAAGTAGAGTTGCTATTTTGCTCATAATCAAGCTGAGGCGTCTTTGATCAAATTAAAAAGTAACACATCATTTATAAAGATTTTACTAAAATATATAATGATTTAAGTGGTAATCTCCTATATTCAACAAAGCTTTTATGAGTCATGTGGTTTCTTTTTTATAAGAAAACACATTTGCATTCCTTATTTATCTTTAAGGGTCTTCCTAATCATTTTGGTAGAGGAATGTGATTATAATCACGACTAATGACAGATATTCTTAGCCTAAGTTCGAATGTGATGCAGTGCACATCGTATTATAATGTTGAACTATGTCAAATAACTTGAGGAAAATAAAATTATTGTCTCAGACTCTATGGAACGAAATTTTTTATGGCTCACATAGCGAAATTATATTTTAATGGAATGATTAAATCATTTAGATTGCCTAAAATTCACAAGTTATTTATGGAAGACTCCATGGTAAAAGATGAGCACTTAATTAAAATTTTTAACTACTTATCACCTGTAAACGCATGTATAAACTGAGGATGCCAATAGGAGATTGGGTGATATTTTGAATGCTTGATTAAAGAGCATTTATTTGGTTGGGATTTGATATTTATAATGATTGAATTTGCATTCATGTCATCTATTAATTTGTTTGCAGATGTAAGTAAATTTGATATAGTTATAATGTTTCAACCTAGAAAGGTTATAAATCTTATTGAACTTTGTGATGTGTCTAGGACTAATGGATTTGCACAATCATTTGTACAACATATGAGACTTGCATGAAAATAAGCATGAAATTGAATATTAATTATGATAATTATAAATCCGATATTGATTTGAAAAAGAGATAATCGAAGCTTAAACTAAGTGATAAGTAATGATACATATGAATTTCTTGATGAAGTTTTTAAGATAATAAATTTGAGAAAGATTACACAATTTAAATAGAGATATATTGTGCTGATGGGACAAATTTGTGTGCAATGATTTATTGATTACATTGTAAAAAGTACAATAGTTATGCCCTAATTTATTTGATGAATATCAAATCTCAAATTCTTTGGATCTAATTTTTTCCAATCGAGTGAATTTTATGTAGATCTGAAAGTTGGCAATCGTCAGAAATGCACATTATGCGTGTTCAAGGCAAGCGATTTAATGATTTTGAGTTTGGGTTTTCTTTAGTTTTTTGTTTCTATGATGATGATTCCTACGACGGCTTGTGTCTTTTTTTGGTCTCATTTACTGTTAGGGTTATGGCATGGTTTAGTGTTAGAGATATTGTTCTTTGCAATGCGTTGGTTTGTTTTGTTGATGCTAGCTTGCTGAATTTCACAAGTTTCCTGACTTTCGGAGCTGGTGTCCTGTCGATTAATTATTTTGTGCGGACACCGAATATCGTCCAGAGACCAATCAGAATGCGCCACATCACCCCTTTCTCGGCATTGCGGCTCGGTACCGCGGCTTGGTACTGCTGACATGGCGCATTCTGGTTGGTCTCTAGACGGCGTTATGTGTCCGTTCTCCACACAGAATAATTTCTCGTCACAAATTTGTTATTTGTTGTGTGACCTGCAAATTTGTTTGAATGTAGTTTTGGGATTTCTGTGTTGTTTAGGTGTTCGTTTCAGGTTTCTTGTGTGAAGCGTGGTTCTTGTAGACTCCCTCACCTGTTATGAGATTTTTTACGCCAACTCTATCTCTACCTCATCAATTATTGAAGCAATAATTTTTTTGATTGTGATTACAAATATTTATTCATGAGGCATGTAGTAACAGTTTATTTTGATTGATGAAAAAATTATCTTTCCTCCCAAGTTTGAGTACTAGTTGGATGCTGGATTTTTCGAGTGTGATGTAAATGCAGTCACAAAATTTCAAAAATTATTTTCTCATACAAAATGTGGCCTAAATTTTTTATTTAGTTGTCTTTTTCTTGTTTTTCGTTCATCTATATAACTTGATATTAATTTTGCGAGTGAGATAGATTTTAGTCAAAACAATTAGAAATATGACAATTACGGAGCCTCTAATTCGGATTTTTCATTTAATTCATATATTATCTATCAGTTCTATGTACTATCTCCTGTAGAGAATATGCTCCAATGCTTTGAAAATTCACATTTCTGCAGATATCTGTAGGTCGTAGGCCAGTCACCGGTCTCAGGCTATGTCTAGAAGGAAGCAAACAGAATCGGCTGGCAATTCATCTACAGCATCTCGCTTCTCTCCCAAAAATTCTTTTACCACACTGGGATTCTCACATTGGCATTGGTCCACCCAAGTGGAAAGGCCCAGAAGAACAAGATAGCCGCTGGTTCGAACCCATTAAATGGAAGAACTTCGCTCATGTGAGCACCGCGCCCATCGAACATACTGATACCAGCATAGGCGACCTTTCCGGCGTTTACATAGTTACAGGCGCTCAACTCGGCGTCTGGGATTTCGGCGCCAAGAGCGTTCTTCACCTCAAACTTCTCTTCTCTAGAGTTCCTGGTTGCACAATCAGGAGGTCAGTCTGGGATCATAGCCCCAATCCCTCTTCAATTGCGATCGCACAGAAACTGGATGATGATTGTACAACCTCATCGTCTCCTTCGTCAAGCGAGCAGTCTAGTCTTCTTGGCAAGCTGGCGAAGATTGTGGACACGACGAAGATGCTGAAGGGGCCTCAGGACTCACCTGGGCACTGGTTAGTTACTGGAGCCAAGCTGGGAGTGGAGAAAGGGAAGATTGTTATTCGATTAAAGTATTCCTTGTTGAATTACTGAAGGATTCTTGTTGTTGTACTTGGTTCATCTTGGTGAAGCATATTCTTTGCACAGGTAACAAGATGGTTCTTTTGTTTTTGCTGTACATTATATAGATAGATTATCCATTAATGGGATTGGCTTTTGTCTCCTTGGTTCCTTTTTTGCATTTCAATTTGATTTTGTTGCAGCTGAGAAGTTTTCCTCTTGATGTATGCAGCACTTTTCAAATAAGGAAGTAAGTATCTTGAGGTTAGAGTTTACCTTGTATGAGATCTGGTAATTGAGGATGGTCTTTCCATTTTTTTGTTCATGTATTTTAGAGGAAATTTTATTCATTTTAATTGTTTGTCTATGTATGCTTGTGCTGTAGCGTTTTGAAGTGAATTTAGGATGCTTATTTCGTGTCCTTTCTACACCAATTGAAACTAAATAAATTGGTATCATCATTTGATGGATGCTACAATGTTTTGATTTTTTTTTTTTCCAATACAACAACATCAAGCCTTCATCCAATTATGTGGGTTTGGCGATATGAGACCTTTTTCTCATTGTTTTCTATTAAAAGTCAAATTCTCATTTAAATCTAGTAAACAAAGGTCATTCTAATATCTTCTAATCAAATCTTTTTAGGTCTATCTCTATCTTTCTTAACATAGGTTGACTCTAATAAATTTGGTCTCCTAATTGGGTTATCAGAAGGCCAACGCTTTATGTGACTAAACCATCTAAGGCGACTCTCTAAGTTTATCTGTCATTGGAACTACTCCAACCTTTTCATGTATATAGTCATTTCACATTTTGTCTCTAGCGTGAAACCACTCATTTATCCGAGCATCCTCATCTCTATACTTAATTTTTTGCTTCTCAGGCCCGATCCATTCCTCCACTTCAACCATCCAATTTGAATTATACTAATAATATCCTCATCTATTTAACCATTGTTCAAAACAATGGACCTAATATACTAAATGTGCACACTTTTTATTGACTTCACCACCAAAGTCACAATCCCACGATTAAATCTATTACTATTAAAAAATATAATGTATTCAGTTTTAGATCTATTCAAATGAAAACCAAGGTTGACCTCCTTAATTCAAGTTTTTCTTCTACTCTCTCTTTAGTCTTATCAACAAGAAGAATATAATCAACAAAAAGCATACACTAGGGTAAGTCATTTTGCAAATGTCTAGTAAGAAAATCCTTAAATAAAGCTGATTCTTGATGTAATCCAATTGAAATAGAAAAATATTTGATCAAGCCACATTGTGTTTGAACACAATTAACAACTTCTACATACATATTCTTAATGACTTGAATATAAATATTATTAACTAATTTCTTTTCTAAAAAATTATCTTTCCTCCCAAGTTTGAGTACTAGTTGGATGCTGGATTTTTCGAGTGTGATGTAAATGCAGTCACAAAATTTCAAAAATTATTTTCTCATACAAAATGTGGCCTAAATTTTTTATTTAGTTGTCTTTTTCTTGTTTTTCGTTCATCTATATAACTTGATATTAATTTTGCGAGTGAGATAGATTTTAGTCAAAACAATTAGAAATATGACAATTACGGAGCCTCTAATTCGGATTTTTCATTTAATTCATATATTATCTATCAGTTCTATGTACTATCTCCTGTAGAGAATATGCTCCAATGCTTTGAAAATTCACATTTCTGCAGATATCTGTAGGTCGTAGGCCAGTCACCGGTCTCAGGCTATGTCTAGAAGGAAGCAAACAGAATCGGCTGGCAATTCATCTACAGCATCTCGCTTCTCTCCCAAAAATTCTTTTACCACACTGGGATTCTCACATTGGCATTGGTCCACCCAAGTGGAAAGGCCCAGAAGAACAAGATAGCCGCTGGTTCGAACCCATTAAATGGAAGAACTTCGCTCATGTGAGCACCGCGCCCATCGAACATACTGATACCAGCATAGGCGACCTTTCCGGCGTTTACATAGTTACAGGCGCTCAACTCGGCGTCTGGGATTTCGGCGCCAAGAGCGTTCTTCACCTCAAACTTCTCTTCTCTAGAGTTCCTGGTTGCACAATCAGGAGGTCAGTCTGGGATCATAGCCCCAATCCGTCTTCAATTGCGATCGCACAGAAACTGGATGATGATTGTACAACCTCATCGTCTCCTTCGTCAAGCGAGCAGTCTAGTCTTCTTGGTAAGCTGGCGAAGATTGTGGACACGACGAAGATGCTGAAGGGGCCTCAGGACTCACCTGGGCACTGGTTAGTTACTGGAGCCAAGCTGGGAGTGGAGAAAGGGAAGATTGTTATTCGATTAAAGTATTCCTTGTTGAATTACTGAAGGATTCTTGTTGTTGTACTTGGTTCATCTTGGTGAAGCATATTCTTTGCACAGGTAACAAGATGGTTCTTTTGTTTTTGCTGTACATTATATAGATAGATTATCCATTAATGGGATTGGCTTTTGTCTCCTTGGTTCCTTTTTTGCATTTCAATTTGATTTTGTTGCAGCTGAGAAGTTTTCCTCTTGATGTATGCAGCACTTTTCAAATAAGGAGGTAAGTATCTTGAGGTTAGAGTTTACCTTGTATGAGATCTGGTAATTGAGGATGGTCTTTCCATTTTTTGTTCATGTATTTTAGAGGAAATTTTATTCATTTTAATTGTTTGTTTATGTATGCTTGTGTTGTAGCCCTTTGAAGTGAATTTAGGATGCTTATTTCGTGTCCTTTCTACACCAATTGAAACTAAATAAATTGGTATCATCATTTGATGGATGCTACAATGTTTTGATTTTTTTATTCCAATACAACAACATCAAGTCTTTATCCAATTATGTGGGTTTGGCAATATGAGTCTTTTTTCTCGTTGTTTTCTGTTAAAAGTCAAATTATCATTTAAATCTAGTAAACAAAGGTCATTCTAATATTTTCTAATCAAATCTTTTTAGGTCTATCTCTATCTTTCTTAACATAGGTTGGATCTAATAAATCTGATCTCCTAATTGGGTTATCAGAAGGCCAACGCTTTATGTGACTAAACCATCTAAGGCGACCCTCTAATCTTATGTGTCACGGGAACTACTCCAACATTTTCATGTATATAGTCGTTTCACATTTTGTCTCTAGTGTAAAATTGCTCATCTACCTGAGCATCCCCATCTCTGTACTTAATTTTTTGTTTCTCTTTTAATGGCTAACATTCTGCGCCATAAAGTATTGAACGTCTCACCACCATCTTATAAATTTTTTCTCAAGTTTGAGAGGTATTTTCTATCACACAATAGGCTCGATCTATTCCTCCACTTCAACCATCAAATTTGAATTCTACTAAAAATATCCTGATCTATTTCACCATCGTTTTGAACAATGGACCTAATATATTAAATGTGCACACTTTTTAATGACTTCACCACCAAAGTCACAATCCCATGATTAGATCTATTACTATTAAAATTATAATGTATTCATTTTCAGATCTACTCAAATGAAAATCAAGGTCAAGTTTTTCTTTTACTCCCTCTCTAGGCTTATCAGTCATAAGAGTATCATCAACTAAATGCATACACTAGGGTAAGTCATCTTGCAAATGTCTAGTAAGAACATCCATAAATAAAGCTACCCTTGATGGAGTCAAATTTAAATAGAAAAATATTTGATCAAACTATATTGTGTTTGAACACAAGTAACCACTTTTACATACATATTCTTAATGGCTTGAATTTAAACATTATTAACTCATTTCTTTTCTAGAACTCTCCAGAGCACTTCTCTTAAAAATTTATCATATGTTTCTTTAAATCAATAAATATCATATGAAGATCTGTCTTACTCTCTATTCTTCTCCATCAAACATCTCAGCAAATGTATAGCTTCCATAATAAGCCTAGTCGACATTAATCCAAACCGATTTTTTGAAACATTAATAGCTTTCATAGTAAACCTACTCGACATTAATCCAAACTAATATTTAGAAACAGTAATATCATGTCATAATTTATGCTCATTTATATTCTCATAATTTTAAATGTATGATACATCAACTTAATTCCTTCATAATTCACACTTTCTTGTGCATCACATTTATTCTTAAAAATAGAAACTAACACAATTCTTTTTCACTCATTTGATTTTTTTTTTTTTGTCTTCAAAATAATATTAAAAAGTTTAGTAAGTTAAGAAATTCTGAAATATCATCTGATCTCATTGCTATTTTATTTTTCATTTTCTTTAAAACTCCACAATTTCAATTTTACTAATATGAAGTAAAAATTTTTTTTTTTTATTATTTAGGATGCTAAGGCCAATAAATTGAATTGTATTCTCATAATCTTCATTGAAAAGTTCATCAAAATATCTCATCCACCTATATTGAATATCCTTTTATAAGAAAAACATTTATTTATCTTCGTTCTTAATGCACATCACTTTAACTAAATGCGTCTCCTATTTCTTTGCTTAGCTAATTTATATACACCTTTTAATTTCCTTAGTATTTAATATATTATATAAATCATTAAAAGTTAAATTATTTGCATTACATATTTCTTTCTTAAAGTTCCTACAAGCTGCTCTGTATATTCTTAATTTTATGATCTTTTATATCTAAACTAATTTTTATAATAAATTTTTTATTTTTTTAATTTTTCTTGCACATTTTGATTCTACCACTAACCATTTTATTGTTAACAGCTTTTTCTTTTAATTCTACAAAACACGCTCTTTTTTTTCCAATGAGGAAACACCATCCATCTTTCTAATAGATTTAGGGGCCCAATTTGAAGTAGCTCCTTTATAATTTTATTTTTCAAAAATTAATTATAACTTTTTTTTTTTCAAAAAAAAAAATTTTTGTGACAAAGAACTTTTTCAATCAAATATATTAAAATGTTATAATTATAAGAAAATTAATTCCTATTATTTTTAATATTCACAATAATATTTGAAAATATATAACCTCGGATGAAAAATGCTATGTACAATATTAATAAAGTGAATAAATCATTAAAATGATGTGTTATATATAATCGTGATTTTCACTTATTTTTAATATAAAATAACTTCATCATTTTTGATAGATTTCGAATTTATTTTTTGAATTTAAATTCACATTCTTTCTAATTACAATCAATGAAATGACAGAATTTAATAAATTTAATATTTTTTAAAATATATTCTTAGTTGGTAGACTAAGCTCCCAAATAACAAATCAACATGAGCTGCATTATTGTCAATTTATTTAAGAATATAGTCAACTTGCAATTAATACAGACTATTTTGTATATTTTAGGAATATATATTCTACTAAAATTTGGAATTTGTTGTTGGATGTTAAAAATAAAAAATATGATATTAATCAATCTTTATGGGCGATTTGGTTGGCTGAAAAAAAAATACACTGTAAAAAAAATACGTTGGAGTTGTTTAAATAAAAGTAAAATAAATACAAGTGAATATTTTTTTTTTTAGTTATAAGTAATGAATGGAAAGTAAAGTCCTTAATGGTGATGGCCAGTGACGGCGGCGGGCGATCAGCAATGGCGATAATGGGTGGCAATGGCCTGTGGTTTGCAAGCGACGACGGGAGGTGACGGGCGACGACAGCGATGGCGAGCGACAGGTAGGGGTGTCAATTTTTGACACGACACGAAACACGACCCGAACCCGACCCGGAAAAATCCGGGTTCGGGTCAACCCAAACCCGAAACGGGTCGGGTTCGGGTTCATGAAATCAACCCGTTTTAAAAATCGGGTCGGGTTCGGGTTGACCCGCCAACCCGAAATTGACCTGAAAGTGACCCGAAAACTCATTTTTGACCCGAAAACCCGAGATTGACCCGATTTTTTACCCGAAAATTAGCAATTTTAGGTCAATTCTGGGTCATTCGTGTCGGGTCGGGTTGACCCGGACCCGAATCGGGTCGGGTTCGGGTCCAGAAACCTGACCCGTTTTTAAAAACGGGTCGGGTTCGGGTTGACCCGAACAGTGCCGGGTCAGTTTCGGGTTCGACCCGAACCCGACCCGTTGACCCGAATTGACACCCCTAGCGACAGGTGGTGGCGGGTGGCGGTCAAGCAAGCTTGTGGTGTAAACTGATTTGAGTCAAAATTGGAGGAGTTTGATCACTTGGAATACTTTACATCCTAAAATAATCTAACAAAATAGCTCCTATTTAATTTTATAGAAACGTACTTCTGGTAAAAGCATAAATTTTAATGTAAAATTTTGCATATTAATTCTATTTTTACATTTAAAAAAAAATAAAAAAAAAGTGCTGAATTGGGTAGCTGATATTTCCTTCATTTCATTCCATTGGAAAGAAGCCCAAGTTTTGTTTTGTTTTGTTTTGTTTTTTTTTTTTAACTTTACTTTACACAATTCATGAAGGCAATGCTATCAAAAGTTTATCTTCCCTCAATGCTGAATGATTTTTTTTCCTGTTATTCTCTTGTTTATTAAAATATTAATAACTACTGCTTAGTGTGTATATATATATAATAAAATACAACAACGGTACATTTTATAAAGTTAGCAGCATATCTCCAGCATTCAAAGTATCTGATCTTGAGGCATGCAACAAATAAACTCCTGTCTATATTGATAGTTGCAAGAAGATAAAAATAAAAACTTAGCTCAGAGGTAGGTTTCAGAAGAAACTAAGTGCTGCACAATCTTTTCCAGAGGACGACATGGAAGAAGAGAGATATTTCTTCTGCTGGAGAGAATGGAGTTGACAAGGAAGACAGGTTATCTGGCCATCATCGATAGTTCCACCACTCTACAAACCTGTTGTTGAAGATCTGGAAGGTCTTTATTTTGGGCTGGATATATCTGTTCCACTTCAATGATCTCCTATTGTTGTAAAGTTTATAAACAGATTAACAATGGCACTTATTGAATATGACATAAACCATTAATAAAATGGTGCTCTTAATATTATCTTATTTTTAATATAGGAGCTCTTGTGAATGAAAAATTATTCTGTGCGGAGGCCGGACACAGAACGTCATCTGGAGACCAACTAGAATGTGTCACGTCAGTGGTACCGAGCTGCAATACTGAGCGGAGTGACGTGATGCATTCTGGTTGGTATTCGGACGGCGTTCGGCTTCCGCACGTAATAATTAATCCTTCTGAAGTGAGATATTCTATGTAGACCTAATAGAGTTATAATGAAAGCACTAAGTTTGCAAAATATTTGATCAACCCCTAGTTCTCATTATGTGCAGAACAACCCGCCCCCAATCTTCACAATCAAAACCATCTAACTCATATTGAGGTGACTCATTGCTGGTTTAATGGGACCCTTGAGAGGATTTCAATTAGGATTTCACGAGAAATAATTCTGTGCGGACACCGGACTGTCCGAAGACTAATCAGAACACGTCACATCACTAGGTACCGAGCAAAAAAAATGACGTGTATGTTCTGGTTGATCTCTAAATGCCGTCTGGATCCGCACAAAATAATTTTTCCTGATGTATGCATCTTCCAAAAATCTTCTCAAGCATCACATTTTACATGAAAAAATTATCATACTAGACATGTATGCCAATCGCATAGTCCACTAGTAAAACATTTGGCTTAAAGAACAACACGATATAAGTTCCCAGCTAATTGGCTCAATCCAAAGGAAGAACACAGTTTGCGCATCGAAGCATTCAAACAGTATTAGGTCGAAAACCTGAAGCTTTTACAAAAAGAAAAAATGGTGAACTAAGAATTTACCTCCGAACTGAAATCCAATGAAGGAAAACGCAATTATAGCTCACTGTGGCTCCAAGAAGAAGAAAAGAACATATCCCTAGCAACCCGTACCAACCCCTCCAAATCAGCCGCGCCCACTTCCAAACAATCTCTGAGAAGCTCACCGTCCACAACCTCCTTCTGCATCACCAATACCACTTCCCTCAAAACCCCCTGCAATCAAGACACAAAGCACCACATATCAAAAACCTAAAATTAGGGTAAATACCCAACCAAAAATCTTAAAATTAGGGTAATCAGGTTCAGAGATCTCCGGACCGATCGTGAGAAGGAACGAAGTAGGGCTTGAAAGAGCGACTTCGATCGATCAAACAGATGCGAGTATTTCCTAAGCATCCATCCGGCCCTCTCTTCCGCCGATTCCAATCTGTAAAACTCTGCCAACAGCGCGACGATCTCGGATGCGGATCGGTAAGTTTCGGCGGATGGAATACCCCAGCGAAACGCGTAGTTCCAAGCAAAGTCCAAACCGGCGGACCAAATCCCTCTTACGCCGCCAAGGCTGTGGATCTTGTCAGCGATCTTGCGTGCACGGTCGGCGGCGGCTTGATCACCTCGGGTGGCGCGGGCGTTGGCCACGCGGTTCATGAGAGAGTGGGAGAGAGAGATGAGTGTTCCCCACTGACCCAAGCGGATACATTCTGCGTGGTGGAGGAGGAGCAGGAGGACGATGAAGGGAATCGATTGTCGAGTAGCCATGGCCGCCGTTGTAGGAGTCGACGGTGAGATATCGCCGCCCGGTGGACAGTTTGTGGACTTCGGTTAAGTAGGATTTTAGCCCAGAATCAGCCCGAGAATCAGCCTAGTTGGTCTGGCCCAAAAATAAACGTTTTGGGCTCATATTCATGGGCCTTACAAGGCCCAATTAATTAAGACCAAAGTATAAACTTCACATAATTAACTGTAGATTACATAGGTTGAATTTGATGTATCTAGTGGTGTACTTGATGACTTAAGATTGTAGTTTTTTTTTTTTTTAATTTAAACAAAATTTTATTCAAATAAAAGGAAAAGAAGGTACAACAGCTACAGGTCAGCAACCCATGAATCACAAAGTCAACGCCAAGTTATCGAGGAACTTTGGGTAAGTTTTAATCTGAGGATAAATATCCTTAGTTCTTTTAGTATAAAACCTAGTTAGCTAACTACTTGTCTTATCTTGTTGAGTAGTTGAGTTCCGTATGATAATGACCTTAACAAATAGTGACTTTACGAGTTCCTCAATGAAGTTCAGTAGCTCACCACTGAAAACTTATATGACTTAGGTGGCTTTGACAAGATTTAGTATTATGTGACATAACGATTTGGTGAGCTCGAGGCATTGCAAGTGTAAAGTTATAAATAATTCAGGTTATTATCATCAGCTTGTTAAAGTTAATTTAGGCTATCATAATGATTTGATTAATTTGATTATCAGTATTAAGGACCAATTTAAGGCTAAGTTATCTTAGGGAGAGCTTGAGCTGAGATCACACTGCAGAGCGAAAGACCTTCCAACCATTGATCCACCAAATCTAACCATGATTTTAACCAAATAAAAAAAAGAGAATGATTATGATGAATTTTATATGTTACCTTAATGTCCAAAACTCAAAAAAAAAAGATGTATTTCCCTTAAAAAAAAAAAAAAAAAAAAAAAAAGATTTATTTCCATTGCCTTTTTAAAAGGATGTAAATTTATCGAATATTTTTCAAGTAGGTCGGCCCAATATCAATTACAGACATAAAGTGACCTTAAAAATCTACAATAACTATTAATTTTTTTATGGAATCGATGAAATTTATCATACTCACAACATCTAAAATTGATCCACTAAGGTGTCTAAATTAAAAGTCAGAGAACATATCTAATGAGCTAAGATTCTTTGATTTAATGCATATGCTTTGGCAAAAGTTTAAAGCTTTATTGCCATGAAATCCATTAGATATGAAGGCAAGATAAAGCTTCTTCTTCAACACTCATTATTCTATCTCAAAGAAAGAAAAAAACTTTTTTCTTGCTTAGAAAGAATATATAACAACAACAAGAACATTCTTTGTAAAAGGCAACCAAAAGGATGCTCAACTGACAATATAAGGATTTATTATATATATCTCATAATTATACAATGACCAGGGAATCCCCCTTTATATACCTTTCATGCCAAAGATACAATATCAATTTGATCAAAAAGCTATGCATTTTGGTATTTTATTGTGATATATGCATGATTTTTTTTTTGGGTGCAATGAGATTATGATGGGATGATGATTTTTAATTCAATTTTTTGATGATTAACATCGACGAATTTTACTAGAATACAATATTTCAGTCTCAAATAAATAGCTTTTGCTGCACAATGACGGAGTTAAACCCTAAAATTTCCACGTAATGAGATTCTGATGGGATGATAGTTTCTAATTCCAAATTTAGATGATTAGTTGTGTTAAGGTTTATGTCGAGTCACCAACAAAATTGAATGGAATACGTACATCTGTTCAATCTCAAAGGAATGGCTCTCGCTACACAGGCAGAGTTAATGAATTTTCTTAAGGATAACATAAATTTATTATTTTAAAAATACCATCAATATACTTCATTGAATATTCATAACACTAGACTCATAACCATTGCTAGCACGTGCCCCATTCTGCAACGGAAAATCATTACGTGTAGCTTTCAGATTCGCTTACGGGCGAATCCGGATGCGCCACGTCACCCAGGGCCTAGTGCATCAGGGTGACATGGCGAGTCCGGATTCGTCTCCAAATGATCCAGACACCGCACATAATAATCTCTCCATTCTGACCCTCTTAAATTCGCCCGATCATTTCATTCATATCACCGTTAGTACTGATTTCATAAGCATAGATATTAATGGTCAAACATAAGACTATAATATAAAAAAAATGGACTAAAAACATAATTTTGAAATTATCTACATTGATAAGAAATAATAGAATATATAGCTAAATAAGGACACCACACATAAGAACATAGGTGAGCTAGCAAGCATTGAGAGCAACATATCAGGATAAGTGATGAGGTTTCCAGGTGTAATGTAGCCATGATTTCCAAAGGCCGACCAAACAAAATGCCCATTGGAATTCTATCGAAAACTATGTATTTTTGGACCATCACAGATTCACAGTACATACAAAACACATTCATATATGCTGGCATCAATTAATTGCAATGTGTTAGATTGGACCCACATTTAAACCTCCAAAGATTTCGTTTCGGAACAACTTTCTTACTGTTTTCTAAAGCAATTTTTTAGTTCAAAATTTTAGTGAACTAGATTTTTTTTTGTATTAGAAAACAATAAGAAAACTATCCCAAATGACGGATTTTGTCCGCCGGTAACAAGGCATTTTCCTGTGGTGAACGAAGCCCGAATGCACATTATTTTATTGCTGTTGGACCCGAATTTATTCATGGATAATGTTTGACTGTAGCAATGAATATTTTCTTAGGCAAGAAAAAGAGTTTAGATGAGTATGAAGAACGAGAGGGCTTCGAGGACTACAAGGCAAGATATACACGTAAAATGTGAAATCTTTGATACGAGTCATTATAAGTTATACGAGACACGTATTATAGATTGATAATTGTTCATGTGGCTCCCTCAATTATAGGAAATGTCCATTGGGCATATTTTCATTGGTGAGTATATCACGGGAATTGAGTGTGTATGACCGAGTCCTTGAGCTTGATGCACAGGTGAGTTATAAGAGACTGTATCTGATTTCCAGGTGCAAAGGGCGGGTCACTTTTGGATGATATCTGCTAACTAATTCTGGATTTTTTGGTATAGTTTTTATAAATAAATTGAATATTAAATGTATATTTATTTTAAAAATATACGAAAATAAAGTTTTAAAAAATAATAAAAAAAAAGAATTGAAAATTTGTTGTTTGCTGAGGATGGTAGGAATTGGACAACTGGATTCAAATGATTATGTATATAAAATCATATGTAAAACAAAATGAATGAGGTCGATGTGACTCAATATTCATTTAGAACCGTAGGCAGTCGGCACTTGTTTAATCATTCTGATTAAATAGTACATTTTTTTTATTTTAAAATAATATAAATTAATTATTTTAAGATTTATTATTAAAAATAATAATAATTTTTAATTAAAATCAGGTTAGGAATCTTATTTTTTATGATGTAGTAAATACATATTTATATTATTAAAAATATATAATATTTGACTTATATAATGTGATGGGCCTCATAATCTCATAGGTGTTGACGGGTTTAAATAATAATAATAAATAAATATAAATTAATTATATTTATAAAAATATTATAAACAATTTTTATAATATTTATTTTTTCCTTTTTTATCTCATTATATAGCCAACCTCATTAATGAGATAAGGATTGATGTACATTATTTGTTGTAATATGTATATTATTTTTTTTATTTTCATAGAAGAATAAATTTTAATTATATGTACACGTATGGCTAATGTAGGTGGAACAGTCCCCTAAATTTATTAATTTTGTTAATTTTTTAATTTTTTAAATTATTATTATTTATTAAATTAAAACGTAATTAAACCTTTTTAGATTATCTTTTGTTCATCTCATTGTAGTTCTAATTTTTTATATAAAAATAAATTTACGTTCAAATATTTATAGTTAAATTTTTTTATGACAACATAAAAAACTAAAATTTATTTTAAAATAAATGCATATATTAAAAAAAGAATTACTTAACTGTATTGATATTGAATCAATCATTTAAATTTATTAAAATATGAAATGTATATGTTATAAATTATAATTTTTTTAAATTGTCCTTGTATTTTAATCCTTTTAAATAACAAATTCATATCATAAAAAAATTTATTTTTCTCTTTTAATTAATTATATAACTCATAAAAACGTTAAATAAAAAATTTATGAGAGAAATAAATAAAGTTTGAAAATAAAAATAAATGATATTCCACTAAATTCCTCCACTTATAAAAAGTGAGATTCAAATAACATTTTCTAAGATTTTCTTTAGTAAGTGTGGCACTACTTCAGATTTGACTTTGCATCGTATTTTCAAATTTGAATAAAATAATAATATTTTTAAGAAGTCAAATTTTGACTTCATCGAATCTCTCTAAACGCAAAAGTTTCTCAGCCACCCCACGTGAAGCAGTGGGCATCGCGCTGCCGCCTGCCACTCATGAAGCTTTTTAGGCAATTTTTTTTAAATAAAATAAAAATTTATTTTAGGTTATTTATTTATTAAAATTTAAAAGAATTTTTTTATAGGGTGTTTTCCATACATACCACTTTATTTTATGCTATTTACATATCTGACACTCAAAACATTAATATTACATGATTACCACCCATAGAACAAATTTGAGTGCATTGAATGAAATATTAAAGTTTATAGGATTGTATGAATGATATAAATGAATTATAGGAGTGGTATATGGGTGGTAGGCATGCAATATTAATGTTTTGAGTGTTAGATATGTAAATAACATAAAATAAAGTGGTATGTATGTAAATTTCCACGAGCAGGGCAAACATGCCTTAATTTTTTATATGGGTATGTACGTATTATAAATAATTTTTTATTATATTTAAATGAGAATTTGATTATTATATAGCCAACTCTCAGGGGCGTAATCAGTATTATTTTTCACGTGTAAAGCAAACATGTAAGTAACTGTTGGTGTTACCTCGAACTTGGCTCGACCATTCACTACAAAAAAAAAGGGTCAATAGCGGCCAAAAAATTAGAGACAAAAAGAAAACAGGTCAATAGCGGCCAAAAAAATCAAAATGATGTAATTGATTAATCATTCAATTTCT